GTAAGTAGGAGGGGAAATCAATCGACGAGGCTGTGAAATTACATCGACTGAGATGGATAGGATATGTGTTACGCATGCGTCCAGTCTTTGTTAGTAGAAAATACAGTCTATTGATTGGTTGTTTCTCACAGAAAGTTAACCTTGCATCTCTCTGTGGCTGTGTCAGATCATCCATATGCTAACTGTATCCGCCTACGCAAAGCCTTTCTTCTCATTTTCTCACCACCAATATTGGGGACATAAACATTGACGTCTATTACTCTCTACCAACTTTGGCTAGTAGCCAGCTCTCACCACAATACTGCGACATAACAGGAGTTTATATTACGGCTATATAGGAAAAGAAGGCAGTTCGGAAAAAGGCAACTTGCCTTTGAGGCAATATTATTATGCTTTTAATGTGTGTGTGTGTACGGCTGTATACGCGTGGTTATCGTGTACCAGTAACAATCTGTCAGAAGTGATCAAGATTATTTAAGGTTGTGTGTTAGAAACTTCATGCATTCCAAACAACAATATCATCATTCTATCGGGATAGTCAATTAGGAAATGAGGAAACAGGCATACATTGGACTCACACAAAAACAGACTTGGAGGATCTGGACTTCGCCGATGATATCTGTCTGATTTCCCACAAACTGGAAGATATGCAAGTGAAAAGCAACGAGTTTGCAGAAGAAGCATCAAAAATAGGACTTCAGGTGAACATAGAAAAAACAGAGGTAATCAAGATTCCTGGGCAAGAACAACAACGACAGATAACGGTCAGCATAAATGGGAGGAACCTGAAACAAACAACCTCTTTTACCTACCCACCTACCTGGGAATCATCGTTTCAACTACAGCTGGGTGGAACTGACGAAGATATCAAAGCAAGGATCATCGGAAAAGCAAGACAAGCTTCCATTACTCTCAAGTCTGTGTGGAGGTCAACAGACAGCACTCAGCATGAAAATGAAAAAAGATCCGGATTTTCAACTCCAATGTGAAGTCAGTCAGTGCCACTTGCTATAAGGATCAGAGACTTGCACTGCGCGTCATGAAGATCAACTCAAACAAACTACAGACCTTCATCAACAGCTGTCTTCGCTGAATACCACTGAAGATCAGATGGCCGGCCGGTCAGAAAAGATTAGCAACAGGGTGGGATCTCTGGCAATGAGCGAACCAACACAGCAGGAACCGATTGTGAAACAAATAGGCAGGAAGAAATGGAAATGGATTGGATTGTGGCCATACTCTGAGGAAACCATCAAGTGAGTGACATCACTAGACAAGCCATTGCTCGAGTGGAATCCGACGGAATGGGAAGCGGCGAGTTGGTCGTCAGTGCGAGGGCGGGTGACTTAGGGGAGGTCATGTGAAGAGGAGATGATGAAAGCATGTGGGCAGACTTGGAGCCAGGTGAAGACTCTAGCAGAGAACCGAACGGAATGGAGACGTTTGGCTGAAGCCCTATGTTCCTCTAGGAATTAAAGGAAACAATAATAATAATGGTTCGCTTCGTGTTACCCTTGGACTCATGGCCAATTTACTGATACTGGTTTGATCCTTGTTATGCTCTACAATCGCATATATGCATAGTAAATTATTTTATCAACAAAGTGAATATTTCCAAGGATTTATCATTCGAATTGTAAATTTCAGATAACAATTTTCGTTAATTGGTTAGACACTAAAACGAGATTAAATAAGTAAGTTAAGTGACGTGATCTAGTTAACGGGGTTGAGTATACAATCGTATCATTGAATACTTACCTTCATGGTTTTATAAAGGAGAAAAAAAGCTTCATTCTGGAACACCTGGTAGAATCAGAACACCAAGCAAACCCACAAAGTAACTTCAAAGTCACCTACAGAATACGTGGGAATCTTGCTAGAAGAGTACTAATCTCTGACGAAGGCGATGACTATGCATGCATACGTAACACATGTCCTAACCATCTCAGTCGATGTAATTTCACAGCCTCGTCGATTGATTTCCCCTCCTTACCTAGCACTCACTGGACGGCTAACCTCAATATTGCTCACCATATTATACCACTTCACGCGGGAGATAGAACGCAGACACCTATGATCGAAGACAGCTAATCTTTTCATGTCTTCTGGTAGGTGTTTTCCCACCCTACACCGCCCAGTCTCAACCAAACCATGAACGCTTCGCAGATGGTACGTACTGCCTCATCTCAGCGGGTCATAGCCACTCATATGATTTGGTCACATGACTGCACTCCCACCTTGCAGGTAGCATACAACCATCGTCCTTGGATCAGGGACAATTCTTTAATTCACTAAGTATCAAAGCCGGCAAAAGAACCTTGAATGCTGACGATCCTCTCATTGGTGGCTCCCCTCCGCTGACCAAGACAAGCATGAGTAGGACAATTAACATTTTCTGTGTAGGCTCCTACCCACCTCACCTCAGCCTATGAGTACATTCAACATCCCGAACCTGCACAGAGACAATAGTCATATACATCTCTTGGGGCGCTTATACAAAAATGTTTATTCTAGTATGAGACTGGGTCCCCAGACCGCGGACGGTTACTTCCACGGCTGCTCTGCTCCCACTAAATCATGGGCTGATCACTGACGCTTGCGCGCACGAGCAACTGGAGGTCGCGCCACCCACCTGCACTATATGACCTCACTGTACGGTTTTAAAGACCTACAACCAGCTGCGGATCACACATTTTATTCAAAATTAAGACCCACGACTGATCGCAGTCCGATGAAGCCTTAAAGGCCACCATCCTTGAGCAAACTAGTCTCGAACATAATCCCCTTACAGGTTGTCTGAAGGTTCCAATCAACCTGCTCAGTAGACACAGGGATACGTCACTCTCACCAACATCCTTCCCGCTTGGTTTTCATGACCAGGCTACCTATCGCAGTCAATGCCCCAGTGCCCTCAAAGATGCCTTAGCACCAAAGAGAATTACAACCAGAACATCGCAGCGTACGGCGATCCCAAGGGCAAGAAATAGTCTGAAAGATTAACAGACACATGTGGAATTACTTCAAGTAAAATCCGACCACTAACTCACTTTGTCAATGGCCACCAGGAATGATGGTATCCTATAATCAGGGAAGGTTTTTATTTTGCCATATGTCTGTTTAGACTGTCTTGTTAGCGAACTGTTAGCCAACCTTCTCTCTGTGCATAAATATTTATTCGTTACACTGAAGTTCACTAATTCGGTAATTCAGTTTGATCAAAAAGAAACACAAATAACTAATTAATAAAGCAGAATAAAAATTCACCCCTGAAAATCGGCATTTTGTTGCATTTTTTCGCTTCTAAATAAATAAATGAAAAACAGATGTGGCACAGTGGACTGTTTTCGGTCGGTCGGTCGGTTTTCGACATAAAACTTTGCACATATGTGCGGCAGTTCAAGTCGCCACACTCCATGTAGCACACAAAGCAAGAGAAGAAAGTAGGAGAAATGCATAACAGAGTGACAGTAAACAGAGGTGTGAGACAAAGGAATAGTAATAACGGAAATCATAAGTCACAAGGAGTGGATGCACCTGCGCCAGCCAGCCAGCCATTGAGAACGATTTTGAGCCATGTCACAAATTGTTTCCAACCACTGGTTTTTACCGTCCTGAGGACCCAAACCAGTCAGGAAGCCAGTCTACACCTTCCTACGTGGCTTAGACTAACTGTTGTAGATTTCATTGACTGGTGCCATGTTTTGGTTTGACCACCGCTAGCTCTTCTCCAGCCTGACCCATCCTATGTCAGCTAACATTGGCCATTGTCGAGGAAGGCGATGACTGGGCATGCATGCGTAACACATGTCCTAACCATCTCAGTCGATGTAGTGTCACAGTTTCGTCGATTGATTTCCCCTCACACCTACCTAGCACTCGACGCCTAACCTCAATATTGCTCACCTTATTATGCCACTTCACATGGGAGATAGAACTCAGACACCTATGATCGAAGACAGCTAATCTTTTCATGTCTTCCACTCTCAATGGCCAGGTCTCACAGCCATAAAGGAGGACGGAGTGGACTGTTGAGCAGTACACACGTCCTTTGGTCGATAGCCAGTCGGATATCACGTCTACTAAGCCAGAGATGGCGTAAACTGGCATATGCGAAACTAGCCCTCTGTATTGTCTGGTGTGGACTGTTTAATTTTTCAAAAAATGATAGATACTTTAATTTATTTGCATTGGAGTTCAACTGGACAACAGCTTGTACAAACCATGCTTGTGTTGTGTGCGTGCTGAAGAAAGGCAGTGACATCAAAAATAACAATTGACGCTACTATACACGATCTCACAGACAGACTAATGGATTTCGATTTTTTTTTCTAAAGAAATACTCTTAAAAGACTTAACCGCTAAACTGGAAACCATTTGCGATCTAAAATTACTCCAGTGTTTCTTTTCGGAATGCATCCATTGGAAATTGTCTCTTGAAAAACACTAACGCAAAAAATTATTTTCTTTCGCCTATCACCATTTTTGGTTGGAGAATTTCATCATGAGTTGACATCAAAGTGTAGGCCTATTCAGGCAGTTAATATAGGGTTCCAGTGGGAAGCCGTGACCTGTAGGGTACAGCAGGTCGAAGATGAGGATAGTTTCTTGTTGAAGAAGACATTGCGAAGTGGTCGAGCTTTGTCGTGAGTAAATTGACCGAAATTAGAATTCATGGGCTGACTGGCCATTGGATCGGGTCCCACTGGCGTAATGGTCTACGAGCTAGCCCATCTTGTAACCATAAGGTCCTGGGTTCGAACTCACTGTCGCGGGTGTTCACTGATGAGGAGTCCCAAACTAAGCTGATGAAACAGCTGTCCAGTACTCCCAGTGGTGGGTTTTCCAATGGTTCTCCAACTGATGTCAGCTCATGATAAAATAATCCTACAACCAATCAAACAAAATCCCTACAAAAACAATACTTCAAAATATCACCATTTTTCTTGCATCTTGAATAGTATTCACTTATGCATTTATTTAACACATTTTTTGTGTTACAGGATCTGATGAAGAAGAAAATGCCAAATTTACTGAAAGCGTTAGCACTGATCTATCAACATTCAACGTTTTACAATACCTTCTCTCATATGACTATTCTATTCGTTAAGGTTAGTGTGACTAGTAGTAAAGCCTTGGTTTTTTTTTTGTTGTAAGCTACTAACTAATAAACAATGTTTGCTTATTTTTCTGAATAAAACTGCAGCCGGACTTTACTGATGAATAAATAATATTCATGTATAATTACAGAATTAATTGTCACATTCAGTGCTAGTGTCACTCCATAATGGATAAGATTTTATTTTGATTAACTGTCACACAGTGTTATACAGTTATATTAACTGATGCGACCACGTTTCGAGCACAAACTATTGCCACTCATAATTATATCAAGTTACTCACACAAACAGAAGGTGTAGCAATGGGATCGCCAATATCCCTTATCGTAGCAGACATTTTTATGGATAGCTGGGAAAATAGTGCTCTCAATACATTTAATCCTACTCTTAAAATATGGTGGAGATATGTGGATGACACATTCACACACAGTGTTAAAAACAGAACATATCTCTCTCTAGCTTCTTAACACATATAAACTCACAAGTAGAAGGAATAAAATTCACATTTGAATCAGAAAATGAACATGTTAGATTGTAAAATAAAACGAATAGAAGAAGGCAAACTACACACTAGTGTTTATAGAAAACCAACGCATTCTAATAGATATTTGGACTTTAATTCGTCTCATCCGTTAACTGTTAAGGCAGGCTTCAGTTAAGTGTCTGACAAACCGAGCCATAGTGCTAAGTAGCACAACAAAAGACCTAAATTACGAAATAAAACAGATAGAAGAGGCGTTGGTGTTAAATAACTATGCTCTAAAATTCATTAGGAAGATAGAAAAAGGCCAAAACCAAAATAAAAATAATTGTGAAACTAGTAATGATAACATAAATAAGAGAGAATATAAGGCATGTACAGTCATACCATATAAAGAAGGGACATCTGAGGCCCTACGTAGGATTCTCAATAACAAAGCAGGAATTAGGGTGGCATTCAAACCTACAAACTCACTCAGAGACAAGCTCTGTAGGCTGAAAGACCCGGTGGACCCAATTAAACAAAAGAATATAATTTACAAAATACCCTGCAATGACTGTGAGTTAAGTCAACTACATAGGTCAAACTAGTAGGTCAGGAATAGTCAGATTATCAGAACATAAGAATTTAGCTAAGTTTAGAATGGTTGACCCAGAGAAGATAAGCAATTTAGAAAAAAGCTCAGCAATTGCAATGCATGCATTAACACACAACCACACAACAGCATGGTGAGAGACGGTTAAGATTCTAAGAAGTAATCTATGTAGGTGGAGAGAGAGGTTGAGTATGGAATCCTTATTAATTGAGTCTACACCCAACACATGCAATAGGAATGACCCAATGCGAATACCAGAAATATGGAAGATATTATTACCGCCAGTCAGTCAAACCGGAAGAGGATAATAAATAATCTTAAAATTCTATTTCAATTCACGTACATCATAACAGTATAACAAGTTACTTATTTAGATTATAAAAACACTCGTCTTATTTCCCATCTGATTGTAATTAATCAATAACACTCGTACTATTATTTCTGAATGTACATTATCTCACATTGATTTTTAATCCAATATCTAATCATCAATTCCACACATGTATATAAATGAAGGAAAACGTTGTGTGAGTAACTTGATATGATTATGAGCAGCAATAGTTTATGCTCGAAGCGTGGTCATCAGTTAGTATTACTGCACAACACTGTGTGATTTATCAAAATGAAATCTTATCCATAGTGGAGTTATACTCTACCACAGTGCCCAAGTTTTATACTTATTTCAGTGCTAGTGGTCGTGTAAAAGGAAGTCCACCACCACCACGTGTAGCCAATAAAATTAGCCAGTCAGTGCCTACAATTAGTGCCGTGGAGAAATGCATCACAAATTGATTGTTCAAGATCACTTTTAAGCAGTTATGACGCTTCAGTGAAGACCACAATCTCAATGTTATGAAAAGATTTCACTTGAGACGTATATACTGTGATCTAGACGTCGTATATATTATATTATTATTATTAATGTTTCCTTTAATTCCTAGAGGAACATAGGGCTTCAGTCGTGCGTCTCCATTGCGTTCGATTCTCTGCTAGAGTCTCCACCCGGCTCCATGTCTACCCACACGTTTTCATCTCCTCTTCACATCACCTCCTCCAAGACACCCTTGCACTGACGACCAACTCGCCGCCTCCCTTTCGGCGGTCAAGATCACACGCTCAATGATTGGTTAGATAATATAAAACTGTATATATGAATAGCGGCTTGATAACTTGGCTTCCGTGTCTTGCCTTCTGCTGTTACAAAACTATCTAGTACTCTCTAGTTGGTTCTCAATGGTTCTCTTTTTTTATTCCTTCACGTTCCCAGTGGAACATAGGGCTTCAAGCTAGAGGCTTGTAGTTTCTGTAGCAGTGGTGTTTATTTTTACAGAATGGGCTAGCTAGCCTCATGCCCAACCTTTTCTATTTACCAGCTTTTATTGCTGGCTTAACGAGGTAAGGGAGGAGTGCGTCCGTGGCCGGCCTGGGATCGAACCGCGGACCATGTGCATGGTCGGCGAGCATCCTAACCGCTGTGCCACCGACGTACCAATGATCCTCTAAATGACATCATTCTGTGCCACAATCATCTATGCCACAGAGATGAACTGATGAGGTCCAGTGTCCTAAACTGAAAAAGACTTGGAAAATGATCTAACGCAATCTGATAAAGTGCTTGGTCCACTACCACCAGAGCAAGAGTAATCTGCTCGGATGAATGTCTTGATGAGGAACTTAATAATAATATTAGACGGTTGCTGAGTGAAAATGGTTATCCAGAAATGTTTATTGATATGAATATGAATCTAAAATCAAGGCAGTCCATGGTACACCAACGGTTCCGAAGGTAAAGGAAGGCCTTATTCTTACAAATGCAGTTCCTCGGGGACAACATCAGCGAGATACTAACTGATGCAGTGCCTTCGAAATGCGGTAAAACGAAGAGCATTCCCTGCTGCCGAATTACGCTGTCTTCGAAACCACTCCTCTCTTACGCCCGGGAGTAAAAGACAAGCTGTCTAATTTCACCTCTTCCATGTGTGTGTATCTACCAATTCAACCGCTCCTCTGGAGTGAGACAGTTACTTGCATAGGCCATACAATTAGGCTTGTTTCTCGTCGGATTTCCGAACATCACCCTGCACAGTGCTTGGTTATGTAAAGGACAAACAAAATCTATTCGCAGCGCTATTCAATCTCACTCATCTTGTGGATACAGAACACGAGACTGATTTGTGTTAACTAAGAGGCTTTCAGTGTCGTTTACCGCATACCAACGAACCTCAATTTTGTCTTAAGAATTCAACTATTTAATATTGCTGAGGCTGGCTGTTGGGATCCATATTAACAAGCTTAACTTGTACATCCAAAAGAAGTTGGTTGGTTCTGACATTATCCTTACCCGCTTGGCCATCTAGGTTTGAATGATCCTGAATTTTGTGGAATTTTCCTAATTTTAGTTGATATTTTATTTGCTACTATATCTTTGTTATAATAATAATTATTATTTAAGCAGCTTTAATGAACTGTGGTGATTCCATTGTGATCATACTTTACAAATCGATATTATTTAAAAAGCACACACTAATATTGTTATTGACTACTAATCTAGAATATTCTATGTATGTAAACATGCATATATAGATAGATTTAATTGTAGAGCGAGAAGAGGAGGAATTTATCGAAAAGGATATTCTTTGCTGTCTCAATTATATTTTGTGTTTTATAGATGTCTGAATGAATATTTTCGCTATATTGAAAATGATCTAATTTGAAAATAGCGTCAAAATTAAATGCTTCACACTGACAGTTACAATGACACATTACAGAAATCTTATGGACACCTTGTCCCCAGCATACTTGAACAAAGAAAACGTCGATTCTGGCGAAGGAAGACATGCCTATCACATCTTGCAGAACATAGTAATACACTTGGCACAGAGATGGCCATTTTAATGACTTAGTGACCATAGGCGTTTTAGTTTTCAAAGCTTGTTTAAAGCATACCCCTTGTTTCAATATGCATATATATATATATTCATATATATACATATATATATACCGAATCTTTTGAAGTGAGGATAGGAATAAGACAAGGCTGCCTGCCTACTATCGCCAATGATTTTCCTGATTGCAGTAGATTGGATAATGCGACCGACAGACAGCGGGCAATGACGAAACAGGCAAAAAATGGACTCACACAAAAAGAGACTTGGAGGATCTGGACTTCGCCGATGATATATGTCTGATTTCCCACAAACTGGAAGATATGCAAGCGAAAAGCAACAAGTTGGCAGAAGAAGCATCCAGAGAGGATAGGACTTCAGGTGAACATGGAGAAAACAGAGGTGATGAAGATTCCTGAACAACACCACCAACAGCAACAACAACAACAACAGACAACAATCAGCCAGCATAAATGGGAGGAACCTGAAAGAAACAACCTCCTTTACCTACCCACCTAACTGGGAAGCATCGTTTCAACTACAGGTGGACACTACTGACGAGGATATCAAAGCACCGAGGATCAGGAAAGCAAGACAAGCTCTCACTACTCTCAAGTCTGTGTGGAGGTCAACAGACAGCACTCAGCATGAAAATGAAAAAAGATCCGGATTTCCAACTCCAATGTGAAGTCAGTCAGTGCTATTTGCTATACGAATCAGAGACTTTGCCAGCGCGTCATGAAGATCAACTCAAACAAACTACAGACCTTCATTAACAGCCAGTTGTCTTCACTCAATACCACTCAAGATCAGATGGCCGGCCGGTCAGAAAAGATGAGCAACAGGGTGGGATCTCTGGCAATGAGCTAACCAACACAACAGGAACCGATTGTGAAACAAATAGGCAGGAAGAAATGGAGATGGATTGGATTGTGGCCATACTCTGAGGAAACAAACCATCAAGTGAATGACATCACTAGACAAGCCATTGCTCGAGTGGAACCCGAAATGTCAGCGTCGAGTTGGTGGTGATTGCGAGGGTGGGTGACTTGTAGTAGGTCATGTGAAGAGGAGATGATGTAAGCGTGTGGGCAGACATGGAGCCAGGTGAAAACTCTAGCAGAGAACCGAACGCAATGGAGACGCGTGGCTGAAGCCCCATATTCCTCTAGGAATTAAAGGATACAATAATAATAATAATATATATATATATGCAGTATATGATGTGATGCAATGATGACTGAGTTGTTCAAGGCTAAACATGTTTTTGTTTTTGTTTTTTCGTTTTTTTGTTTTTTTTCATTTCCTATTCTATCTCAATAGATTTCGAATCAAATCATTTCAACCTTCAAATCTTACTTAACAATGCATCATACAAAATCAATTTGGGATCAAGATAGTAAAGTTATTGTTAGTAAAATGGAAAAATGCATTGAATTAAATCTATCCTATCAAGAGGCTTATAAACGTACAAGTCAAGAAATGAATGATGCTAATGCCAATAGAATGTTCAACTTCTCTGAAGTACAAATATTTGGCAATATCAACTTGTTTACACAAAGATTAGGCTATCTAATACGTGTTATAAAAACTTTGGAAGAATACTCAGCTCTACGAGATTTTGTTCTTGAAGGTTAGTCACTGTCACTAATAGCAGATAAAGCTTCAGCTAAGTGTTAATTATTATGCAAGTATTATTTAATGGGTAAAATAAAAAATAGACTGAAATTTAAACGACGTCTACGACTTCCATCAACCCATGAATAGAAGAAGAAGAGTAAATGTCCCTTGTAAACCAGGATGAAGTAGGCATTTTGTTGTAAGCTAACACACGAAACAACAGGATTTTCGTTTCCTTCTGTCTTCCAATGGCTTTCTCTGACTAGTGTTTGCAAAATTATCAGTTGTCCACGAAATTAACTAATAGAAGGTTCTTTTCACTATACACTAGATGGGTTGAAAAAAAATGTCAACTATCACAAATATCTTTAACCAACTATTTAATTGAATTTTAGATTTTCCCGTCGATTGATTGATTGGACCGAAATATTCGGTCTCAAGTTGACATGTCGGCCGGCTTCTTGTGCAGATGCTTCGACCACGATGTCTGGGCATGTAACTGGAAGTTAATTTATGGATGGATGATGACTAGCAGTGGAATCCAGAATAACGCGCATTTCGTCCTACTTGGGACTAACTCGTCACCTGGATTTACCTACATTCCGCAGTAAGTGATTCTGTTCTCACCGAGACACGAACCCAGTTAAATAATTAATATGACCCGTTGCACAAGAGGTGGCCAGCTCTCATGGCCCAAGTGTTCTAGTGGATAACGCTTTAGCTGGCGTTTGAAACTATGAGCACTCGGTTCGAGCCTCGGTGCAGGGAACATCATCACTGACTCACTGGGGAATGCAGGTACATCCAGTAGCTGACGAGTCCCAAATAGGACGAAATGCGCATCCTAGATTCCACTGCTAATCACCATCCACCAACTAATTCTAATCTTTAACCAACGTTTAGACAGAGCAGTTTAACTTTAACAGCATTCATTGACCTTCATTCAGTAAAATGAGAAACATTCTTAACAGATAACTTTAATTTATGATTAATAGTTAGGAATAAGGTCGATAAACTTTGAAAATTTTTTAAAAATGAATGGTTACCGAACAAAGAATATTCACATTTTCGATAACTTCATCATCAGGTTCTACAATTATATCCATACGTAATAGTGAATGAATTCGTGTTATTAACAACATTCATGCCGTTACTGGGTTTCATCATGAGCTGACATCGGTTAGAGAACCATTGGAAAACCCACCACTGGGAGTACTGGACAGCTGTTTCATCAGCCTAGTTTGGGACTCTTCATCAGTACGCACCCACTGGGATTCGGACCCAGGACCTTCTGGTTACAAGGCGAGGTCGTATACCATTAAGCCACTGGGGCCCGATCCAATGGCCCATGAATTCTAACTTCTGCCAATTCACGATATAGTGCAACCACTCGCCAATGTCTTCGGCGAGTATTTGTCCTCAACCCCTACCTACTGCACCCTACTGGTCACGAGTTCCCACCAGAACTACAGGTAAATACCTAGTTGAAGAGGACCAGTCGCCAGTTAGCATCTCATTGATATTACCTGGGGTTCCAGTGGGAAGTCGTGATCAGTAGGGTGCAGCAGGTCGTGTGAGAGGACAAATACTTGCTGAAGACATTGGCTAGTGGTTGCGCTATATCGTCAATTGGCAGAAGTTAGAATTCATGCACTGGCTGGATCGGGTCCCAGGGGCTTAATGGTCTACGAACTAGCTCATCTTGTAACCAGAAGGTCCTGGGTTCGAACATCGGTGGGGTGGTGCGTACTGATGAACAGTCCCAAACTAGGCCGACGAAACAGCTGTCCATGATGAAATCCTGTAACCAATCAAACAAATCCCTACAAACCAATACTTGAATATTAATGCCGTTGTTTAAATAACATCGAATCAATAATAATAATGATAATGCCAATGGATTACAGTTCGACAGCACCAACATAACCATACACTGAATATCAGAAAAATTAGGAGAGATAATAGTAAAGAATTCATGAATTTATAAGCTCCACAAAAGGCCAAGGTAGTAGTATTGGTTAATTGGACATGTTCCTTCTGCACACAAAGCACTGGTTGTTTCACGCGAATAGCAGTAGCCTGTACTGTTCCAATTATGTGGTACCTGGATATTTTTTGCAGTTTGTTTGGTACCCGATAGATTATAGAGAAGGATTCTTCCACGCTGGCTGGCTTTGTGGCCGGTTCGCACCAGATGCTCCAATATCAAACTGTTAGTGGCTTTAACTACACATTTTTACTTAGCCATACTGGGAGATGTTCTCGAGCAGAAAAAATCAAGTTTCTGGAGAAACCGCAAATGAAATTCACTCCAACACAAGCTTCGCGACTAAACCAACCAGCTCAGAGAACACTTTTAATTGCAAATCATCCACCTGAGCTACAAATCTTCTCTATTATTACAAGTGCATTTGAATTGACAGATACAATTAGAAGTGGCTAGTCTAGTGTAGGTACTTGATCTTTCAATTGAGGAATTGAGAATTAAAAGTCCTTTGCACTGGTACTTTTAATTTCTTCGTAATTATTTCCCTAGGTATATCGCCCTTGAATTGCAGTCATATATATTTAAAGGTTTCGTGTTTGCAGATAGTAAATAGTCCTTTCCAACTTTTATAAGTCATATGTTTCCTAATAAATTTGTCTGGATAGCTATTTCCAATCAAGGTATCATATACAATCAATGCTTAGTTCATCTTCAGTTACCTTTAAAATACTCTTTTTATGAAAATAAAGATAAGACAAAAAATTATTGCATAAAACTATATATACTACTGATTAATTGAGATGAGTAGTGGCATATCACCATTCTAATCAACCAGCGGTGCTTACCACCTAGCCAGATCGATCGAGGTGATCTAAACACTACGGGATGGCCATTTCATTTGTTTGGAGCGAAGCTCATCAGTGCAATGTACCCGGTGTGACTCAGCTCATGGAGGCGAATCAATTCAAAGCACCACTTCTCTATGAAATGTGCGTCGTCGGCACAGGACTCTCGCCGACCATGCACATGGTCCAGGATTCGCTTGCCCGCCGACGCACACCTGATATCAGTGGTCGGCCTGCAAAATTTGGGCTACCGATATCACATGCTGTACCGAAAAAATACTGTGTAGTTTCAAGCTATAATCAAAAAAATAAATAAATAAAATAAAAGTGCAAATCTAAAAAAGGTGTAGAAGTATTGAGATTAATAAAAACGGTTGAAACCTTACTCAGCATGGTGATAATTATCATAATACATCGGGTTTTGTTCAAAAAGGGGTCGGTTACGAAAAGATAGAAGGGGGGAACTGTAAGTAGCACAATAATTGGTTGAAAGTGGTTATCCGTAGAAGAGATAATAAAAGGGGTGGAATTCTGTCTGACAACAACATATTTCACATTCGAAGGGAAAATATATCAACAAAATGAAGGAGTAGCCATGGGATCGCCTATCTCACCAATAATAGCTGACATATTCATGGATTATTGGGAAGAGAATGCTCTTAAACCATTCAGGTCACCACTAAAATGTTGGTGGAGATATGTAGACGACACACTAGTTTTAGTAAAAAGAAACGATATTGAGAAACTCTTCTCACACACATAAACAGCCATGTCGACTCAATAAAATTCACTATGGAAGTAGAGAATGAAATTGGGGAACTGCCTATGCTAGACTGCAAAATACGAAGAATCACAGATGGTAGCATTAAAACGACGCTATATAGGAAAACCACACACTCTGGAAGATTCCTTGATTATCACTCAGCTCATCCACTCACGGTAAAACGAGGATTAATACAAGGTCTTGCAGATAGATACAATACGTAGACTTACAACAGCGCCAGAGGACCAGTGTGAAGAAATAAATGTCTTATTCAAAATGCTACTCGAAAACAACTACCCAAAAGAATTTATAAAAGAGGATATAAAAAAGAGAAAAAAGAGGGTAAAGCCGGGGAATAACAAGATAGAAGAATGCAAAAAAACAGTCACAATACCATATAAAATTGGTATACATCAGAGGCAATTCAAAGAAACCTCAAAAATATCGGCATTCACACAACCTTTAAACCCACGAATGAATCTAATCAAAAATAAAATAAATCAACTGAAAGATCCCATAAAAGTGATGGATAAAAACAACTTGATTTACAAAATATCTTGTGCTGACTGTCCGACTAAATATGTGGGGCAAACGTCCAGATCACTCAAAATAAGAGTGAATGAACATAAACGCCTAACCAAAGGTCAACCAACAGGAACATAAGCCTACAAGAATCTTGAAAAAAATTCATCGATAGCTGCACATGCATGGGACAAAAACCACAATATCGATTGGGACAATGTGTGTGTGTATTCTAAAAACTAACATGAACAAATGGAAAGAAAGACTTATAACAGAATCGATATTCATTAAAGTCACACCGGATACATGTAACAAGGGTGACTAGCAGTACAACTATCAACAACTTGGAATATAATTCTGAATACAAAAACCTGAATTAACAAAAATAATGAACTATATATATGAGTACAAATCATAAATGTGTGAATCAAACAATTCCAACAGTGGTGTTAACACGGGCAGTAATTTTGCTCGAAATATTACCAATAACAAAACTACTTATCATTGTGTGTAAACTATTGAAATATAATTATACTTTATTTGATCTAATCCACAATGCTCAAACTTTTTACTGATATTGATACTGGTCATCTTATTCCTATAGCCCCTTTCTTGAAAGTTATCTACAAGATGAAAAATAATAACCTGCTCAGATAACTGAGTATGTGAGTCATCTGTACTGTCATGGCTTTAATCCGCCGTCATTGAACTATTAAAATCCCCACTGCTACTTATGCCCTACTTATTTTTCGTTTTGTTTATTCAGTTTGTATATGCTTCCCTCATTATATTGATTAATATTATTACTATTATGATTACTTTTTCCACTTAGAATAACGTTCGCTGTTACTTCGCTTGTCACCCTTATTTATTTAATTCAATATGTCTTTTTACCGTATTGCCTTATCATAATTATTAACTTGTTGCGTTTTTTTCCTTCACGTTCCCCAGTGGAATACAGGGCTTCAAGCTAGTGGCTTGAAGTTTCTGTAGCATTGTTCATTATACAGGATGGAGTTGCTAGCCTCATGCCCAACCTTTCCTCTCAACCAGCATTATTTCTGGCTTAGCGAGGTAGGGGGGATCGAACCCCAGACCATGTGCATGGTCGGTGAGCGTCCTAACCGCTATGCCACGGACGCTCTAACTTGTTGCGTAATGTTTTAATTATTTATTTCTACACTGCCTTTGAGACTTTTACATTTCCTAAGTGTGCGTGGTAAGTCTTGATTACCTGTCAAAACTTATGGAGAAGATCTTTTCATTGTTAGTGTAAATATAAAAGAAAAGGCGCCCAGCGAAGAGTTACTCCTCTTTTCGGTGATATCTCCTTCTCAAGCTCTACAATCGGGGGGGGAGGGTTGGTGTTCACTGATAGCTCTGTCTGCGTCGTTGGTATTGTTGGGTGCGTTATGTACACATATGCATAGTAAATTGTCTTAGCAACAAAGTGAATATTTCCAAAGATTTGTCATTCGAATTGTAAATTTCACATAACAAATTACGTAATGTGGAAAGCGTTTGTCGGATAAAAACTGAACTATAATTAAATAAGCAAGTTGGATGACGTAATCTAGTTAACGGGGTTGAGTAGAGCTCAGCTAAAATTAAAATTGAACGAAAGCCAAGTTAACAAGAGTGGTAATAAGGGGTTGGAGGGGGGGAAAATAATACAATTAAGTAACAAAAATTATTTGGTGTTAAGATAGATCAGGTCCACTGTAGACTTAATGATTGAACAAACTCCTTTGGTATGCAAAGTCCGGGACTTGACATTTGAATCGCAAACGCTTCTGTGGCTTGAAGAAGTTTGATTCGTGCGTGATTCCCACGTGTTCTGTAGATGACTTTGAAGTTACTTTGTGGGTGGGTGTGTTTTGTGTCCAGATTCGATTAGGTGTTCCAGGATAGAGCTTCGGCGGGACCTATTTTCTCCTCTATAAAACCATGACTGTGGGTAAATGTTCGACGATACGTTTGGATAGCGAACGCTGGATACGGATGACATATTTAGCTCCACAGGTGCAGTAGATGAATTGGTAGATGCACATTGATGGGGCTAGTCAACAGTGAGTGGTAGCTTATCTTTACCCCGAAGGAATTCATATCCCTCCTGAGATTCGAACTATTGTCACGCAGTGCTGCAGTCAAAGATGTTATCAGATACGCCTTTCTGACGAGTACCAACTAGCATGAAACCTAGGTCGAAGGCTTCCTGTCGCTTGCCTCCATCTATCTAATATTATCAAATCAATGTACACCGTGATGGCGAGCTACCTAGAATTGTAACCACATTGCAAACCTTCATCAAAGAAAGGACTACTAGACACATCACACTAGTTACTAGTGTCCAATCAAAGAACCAAACACATTTTTGTTTTTTGTTACTTAATCGTATTATTTCCTCTCCCCACCCCTTATTAAATCTCTGCCCCTTATTACCACTGTTATTAACTTGACTTTCGTTTAATTTTAGCTGAGTTCTACTCAACCCCGTTAACTAGATTACGTCATTCAACTTGCTTATTTAATCTCGTTTTAGTTTCTAACCCATTAACGAAATTTTCTATCTAAAATTTACAATTCGAATGATAAATCCTTGGAAATATTCACTTTGTTGCTAAGACAATTTACTATGCATATATGCGATCGTACAGCTTGAGGAGGAAATATCGCGCGAAAAGAAGAGTAACTCATCTCTGAACACCTTTTCTATTATATGATTTGTGCAGGTATTTAAAATATAAGATGAAATCCTAGAGGTGAATGGCTGCCTTCAATAGCCTTTGACTGAAATCACTCACAACTCCACTGACTATCCCGATTTATTATTATAATATTATTATTATTTCCCTTCATTCCTAGAGGAACATAGGGATTCAGCCACGCGTCTCCATTGCGTTTGGTTCTCTGCTAGAGTTTTCACCTGGCTCCATGTCTGCCCACACGCTTACATCATCTCCTCTTCACATGACCTACTACAAGTCACCCACCCTCGCAATCACCACCAACTCGACGCTGACATTTCGGGTTCCACTCGAGCAATGGCTTGTCTAGTGATATTACTCACTTGATGGTTTGTTTCCTCAGAGTATGGCCACATTCCAGTCCATCTCGATTTCTTCCTGCCTATTTGTTTCACAATCGGTTCCTGCGCTGTTGGTTAGCTCATTGCCAGAGATCCCACCCTGTTGCTGATCTTTTCTGACCGGCCGGCCATCTGATCTTCAGTGGTATTGAGCGAAGACAACTGTTAATGAAGGTCTGTAGTTTGTTTGAGTTGATCTTCATGACGCGGTGGCCAAGTCTCTGATCCGTATAGTAGCACTGACTGACTTCACATTGGAGTTGGAAATCCGGATCTTTTTTCATTTTCATGCTGAGTGCTGTCTGTTGACCTCCGCACAGACTTGAGAGTAATGGAAGCTTGTCTTGCTTTTCCGATCCTCGCTACTTTGATATCTTCGTCAGTTCCAACCAGCTGTAGTTGAAACAATACTTCTCAGGTAGGCAGGTGAAGGAGGTTGTTTCTTTCAGGTTCCTCCCATTTATGCCGGCTGATTGTTGTCTGTTGTTGTTGTTCTTGTCCAGGAAACTTCATCACCTCTGTTTTCTCTATGTTCACCTGAAATCCCATCTTCTCTGGATGCTCCTTCTGCCAACTTGTTGCTTTTCACTTGCACATCTTCCAGTTTGTGGGAAATCAGACAGATATCATCGGCGAAGTCCAGATCCTCCAAGTCTGTTTTTGTGTGGGTCCAATGTATGCCTGTTTCCTCATTTCCTAATTGACTATCCCGATAGAATGATGATATTGTTGTTTGGAATGCATGAAGTTTCTAACACACAACCTTAAATAATCTTGATCACTTCTGACAGATTGTTACTGGTACACAATAACCACGCGTATACAGCCGTACACACACACATTAAAAGCATAATAATATTGCCTCAAAGGCAAGTTGCCTTTTTCCGAACTGCCTTCTTTTCCTATATAGCCGTAATATAAACTCCTGTTATGTCGTAGTGTGAAGAAGAAAAGACCGAGGAGGCTGAAAGGAATGTTCATTTGGTGAAACGTATGGTACATATTTAAAACAGCTAGTCACTTTTATAAATTTTGATAGCATTATTAGAAGACGGAGATTATAATGGGGAAATAAATAGTAGGATTTTGAGACAAAGGTTGAATTCCATCATCCGTAGAACCTACTATGCTGCCCAGCTTGTAATTGTAGAAAAAGCTAAAAGATATGCTTCATTGGAAACCTCAAAAGTGCACAAGTGATTATATCACATCCCACACAATTTACCAATTTTCGTGTGTGTGTGGAGATACATAGGGAGGAGTAATCGCGCGTTGCATGTGAGGTTGGTAAAGCATATCCCATATCGTCACATTCCATAGCTTCTTGGATTCTGCATCATATGGCAAAATTCTTCTCATGGTTCTCTTCTTTGATCGCTCTTTCCAGTGTGCAAAACATATTGTTACTCTTCTGAATTCGCTTTCTGATATACTACTTATATCGGATTATAAGTAGCACTCACCACAGTATCATGTTTTCAGAATGCTCTTCTACCCTGAAGATTATCCAGTTTTCATCCTGACCTCGTTTATTTCTTTTTTTCCAAATAGGCAAAGATGTAATTATATCAAAACTGGATCGTATTCACTCAAATATTATTTCTAAAAATTACAATTACCTTGACCAACGTAATCAGCAATTTGAAAGTGACTATGAAGATTTTAAAAATAAAATATCTGATTTGCATGTAAGTACACTAATTTATTTTAATGTTTTTTTTTCAACAAAACTTTTCATAAAATGTATTGCTAATGTTCCAGGTTATATATGCATTATTCCCTTGGATCCCGAATGGAATATAGGGCTTCAAAAACCCATCTCTTCTATTTCTTCTATTTTCTGCTGTCTTCTCCATTTGGGTCCACGATTTCCCACAATTGCTCCTCTCCTCCACCTCCCATGATATCTTCAGTGTTACCCTTGCACCGACGAACCACTCGTCACTTTCCATTTTTAGATTCCACTTGAGCAATGGCCCCCGACCGAAAGCTGCTACCTTGACGTGGTGGCCGGGCTTGAACACTGCAATCACCCAACAAGCTATGGTGGCTGAGACTTATGTCACTTGAGGTCCCACCATTCCAGAAAGGTTGTTTGGATAGCGGTTAGACAAAAAGCAGTTGCCCAACCCAATGCTATGCCTCAAAGTAAATCACAAAGTATCATGCCGGATCAGTCGGGGCCCGGATTAACAACGACCGCGCTTCCTGCTGCCGTGTCACAGGGCAGAATTGATAAATATGCTACTGAGACACACAAAATGAAAAAGAACAAACAAAAACAGGCCGTGTATGACCGGCCTCAAGCAGATGTCCCCTTGGCTCTGCGGTCACGCAACCAACTTCCACGGTGTGGGCAGCCGGGAAGTAACAATCGCCCTCACAGTCCAAAGTGCACGCGAAACCTCTCTAATCCTCATCTTTGAGCAATAGCCTCATTTGCGCGTGACATCATTCAACCGTTTCCTCAATATATGCTCGATACATCTCCTTTTTTGCTCTTGGCTGGTTTGTTCCCAAGCCAGAGTCTCTCGTTACTACTTCTTTCTGGCGGTCCATATGATCTTCAGTATGAAGTCAGCGATGGCCTGCAGGAAATCCTTTTCGTTACACGCTGGCCAAGTTTCTGACCCGACTTGAAATTTGTGTTGGCTGAGTGGCTGGAATTTTTATATATTATAGGCTGACTAAGACGTTTTCCAAAATAATCAACGCTCGCCTGAGTATAATTCAAATGTACAAATGTATTATCCTAAAAGGGGGGAAATTTGAAACATTTAGTGAATATATATTCCATAGACTTTACGATTTTCAAAACCTCTTTGAATTTCATACATGAATAAGCAGCTCAAAACAATTCAAATATCTGTGAAGGCATGACAGCTTAATCGACTAAATATTACCCCTATCAATATGAACTGAACAGCACCTGCTTTTCTAACACCTTCAAACACTGTTCAACTCTACCTTTGCTATCGACTTGCCAATATGTTGTTGTCATAATGAACTGAGATTTCCTTAATCTTTGTAGAATTCTATTTATTGTTAATGTACACAAACTGGATGCGCAATACTGTAGTAAAAATATGCTGAGAATTCCATTCTGTATCACAAGTACTGTTTTGGAATAAAGCAAATTATTATTATTATTTCACTTTCACACCTTCTGTATGATGACATTTCTATCCAATGAAAACTTCTTCTGTTTCTTTTTTGATCCCTTCAAGGTTCAATTATTATCAACTATAAATGCATACTTTAAGAAACCAGTCGATTTACTTGCACGCATTAAATTACAAGAACGCCTGGAAACACTCGACATAGCTGAATTAGAACATGCTGAAAGATATAAGAGTATTTGTTTAAGTTTAAAGAATGAAATTAGCAATATCTCACGTTTATTCAAGAGTGGGCTGAATGATCCAAGTTTAGAGAGAAATATGCCACCGTTCGCAGGTCAGTCTTTCTTCTTCTTTTTCTTTTACAGCCTTCAGAGTGTACACTTGTTTATTCAACTATGTTCACTGTGTAATAAACTACGCTTTATTGAAAATATTTATTTATATATGATAGAGAAGATTTGTAGCTCAGGTGGATGATTTTGATGTGGTTGTGTTCTCTGAGCCAGCTGGATAGTAGTTAATTTGCGAAGCTTTCATTACCCTACTAGGTGACATCTTCCTTCAGCACATACACTTCAATTTGAATTGTTGAAGTGAGCTTGTAGATTTCTCCACGAGTTCACCATTAATCATCTCTCCTGGCCGGTGACCAACTTGGACGTGATTGGTTGTTTTTGTGTGTTTTCACACCTTCTAGGCTGCTTGTATCGATATTGGAACAGATTGTTTCTTTGACTTGAACTTTGACCCTTTGTGTGTGAGGTTTCTTTCTTATCGGTTGATAAATTTTGCCAATATCGATGTGTCTATTGATTGATGATTCACTGGAATTGCAAGCTCCTGAAAATGCTCTAGCATTCTTGTTGTTATTTCCTCTGTCTAATATTGCTTCAACGCTGGTTGTCCCAGTCGAACTGATGTCCGTGGTTGTCTGTATGTAGTGATATGAGGGAGTGGATATCATGTCTTTTGACAGCTAGCTTATGTTCTTGGATACGAAAACGAAGAGGAGGGGACGTCCACTTTGGCCAATATAGTGTTTTTCGCAGTTGATACAATTTATTTTGTAGATGATGTTGGTTTTTTCATCTTCTGTCGTTGTTGAGCCTTTTGGTTGACATAGAATTGAGTGAAGTGACTTTGTTGGTTTGTGTACGATGGAATGCATGACATGACATCCACTACTTCGCTCATATCGCCTCACTGCATACAGACAACCAAGGACATCAGTTCGACTGAACAACCAACGTTCAAATATTAGACAGAGGAAATAACAAGAATGCTAGCCACAGAATTTTTAGAAGCCTGCCTGGTATTCCCATGAATCATCAATCAATAGACACATCGATATTGGCAAAATTTATCAACCGATGAGAAAAAAACCTCACATACAAAGGGTCAAAGTTCAAGTCAAAGAAACAATCTGTTCCAATATCGATACAAGCAGCCTAGAAGGTGTGAAAACACACAAAAACAACCAATCACGTCCAAGTTGGTCACCGACCAGGAGAGATGATTAATGGTGAACTCGTGGAGAAATCTACAAGCTCACTTCAACAATTCAAATTGAAGCGTATGCGCTGAAGGAAGATGTCTCTTGCCTAGTAGGGTGATGAAAGCTTCACAAATTAACTACTATCCAGCTGGCTCAGAGAACACAACCACATCAAAAGCATTTATTTCCTGATACGAATTTAAAACAAGCAATAGAGCAGGATGATGATTTAATGACGGATCCATCAAATTTCGGTAAGATCGTCCGTCAGCTCCTCAGTACTCTACATACACGGATATATATATATACATTTGAAATTACACTCGGAGATAGAAGACTGATAAGTAAATAAACTACATTGAATTAGTCATGCAGAAAAACAGGTGCGAATGTTTTCCAGGTCATGTTCAAATAGATAAGTGGGGAAAGGGAGTATGAGAGATCAAAATTAAGAAAAAATCCATTACGCTGCAATTACATCACTTAGGTAAACAATTAGACATTAGAGAATATAACAAGAATTACGAGCAGAGTAATATCAATAGTAATAGTTATAGAAACAATAAAAATAATAGTAATAATGTTGAAGTGAGTTAAGATAATCCTACTGATAAAGGATAGTTTCAAATGAATCAAGAATAATAATAATGACAATAATAATAATAGTGACTATAAGAGGTAGAATAATAAGTAAAACGTATTACCATGGTAGATTCAGAGTCACGACCATCTCCTTTTGTACACAGAGACCTGGTTTGTAAACTCGAATTGCTCAAGCCTCCTCTACAATTGCAAGCATCTTCCTGTTTCTTTGTCTGCTGACAATAACAGTGAATGACTTGACAGCGTTGATATATCACATCTGTAGTCCACAAGATGTTTTGTTATTGAAGTTTTTTTGGCACTTTGCGCATTCAGCTGTTTTCAACCATTTTGGCAAATGCTCCATCATGCGAGTAGATAATCGCCTTTCTGTACGACCTATGTATTTGTGTCATTCCACAAACACACTCAAATTGATATACGCAGTTTGAAGTGTCGAGGATTGGGGACTGGTTTTTCCCAGATTGTTGAAGCACTCGCTTAGTGGTGGTGTTAAGGAAAACATATTTTGCAGCATAATAAGTTCTCTTGATGGCTTTATCGAGTTCTCGTTTGACTATTTCTTGTACATTATCTCCTTTGAATGACAAACTGATATTGACAGATTTCTTCGGAACTGTCTGGATTGTTTTGCAGGGGGTGTTTTCTTTAGAGTATTTATTAATGAACATCTCAGGATATCCATTCTTAGATAAAATATCCTTCAGGGATTTTATTTCATACTCAACAGTACTGTCAGAAGAAGTTTTTCGTGCTCTATTGAAGAGTGTTCTGACTAAGTTCTTTTTATACTGGATTGAAACATAGCTCTTGAAATGTATGTACTGTCCTGTCCATGAAGACTTTCTAAATATAGATCTTTCGATTATGCCATCATTCATTTTCGCCAGTAAAACGTCTAGGAATTTATTAGTATCGTTTTCATCCTGTTCTACTTACTGTGAAATTGAGATTTGGATGGCATGAGTTGAATTTTATCAACTCATGTCTTCGGCTTTTGATCTGCTTCCACAGGCAATAAAAATGCCATCAACATATCTTAGGTATAGATCCGTTTCTTGTATATGTTGTTGCGAGGTACCGGTTTCTAGGCGTGACAAGAATAAGTCAGCGAAAAATGTTCCCAAAGGGCTTCCCAATGCGACACCATCAACTTGACGGAACAGACGCCCGTTGAATTGGAATTGGACGTTTTTAGTACATAAAAGTAACAATTTCCTCAATTCCGACGTTGGAATGGGTATGTCTTCAACTTCTTCACATATGAAGTCGATAGTCTCAATGACTGGCACATTTGTGAATAGGGAGGTAACATCAAAAGAGACCAAATGTTTATCACATACACTGAAATCTTTGATTTGCTTGACAAACTCAAATGAATCAGAAACTATATACGCTCCGAAGCGTTTCCGCAACGGCTGCAACAGTTCACATAGCCACTGTGCTAATTTGTGGTATGGTGAGTTTATCATCGAGAGTATGGGTCTTAACGGCGCTCCTAGTTTGCCTCTTTCTCTAATTTTCAACTAGTCAATCAGTCTAGGTTACACCTTACATTACGTAATACGTTTCTAGAGGACAAATTTCACCACTATCTGATTGGTCGTCTTATAAATTCTTTGTTAGATAGGGGTACAGCATGTTGAAAGTGAAGAAGACATTGCGAAGTGGTCACGCTATTCACTGTTGCACTGAAATCTAGTTATTCTTTTCCAATACAAAATTATTTCTGTGAGGCGGCATTCGATTCTGTCGACCGAGAGGTTCTTTGGCGATGCTTGGCTGTGAAGGGAATGCCGAGAAAATACATTGCACTGAATAAGGCACTCTACTCGTACTCATGCCATCAGCCAGGTGAGGGCCTATGGCCAGTCGTCATCTGAAGTGGTGACGAACTAGTGGCGTCCGTCAAGGATGCTCGCTAGCTCCTATTTCTATTCAATTTCATCATAGATGTACTAATGGACTTACCCTAACTCACTTCAGCGACTCAGGGATTGACTTGCTACCATCAGGGAATATTCTCGTTGACTTAGAATATGCAGACGATATAGTCCTTCTAGGCGAGGACGCTGACAAAATGCAGAGTCTACTGAACACCTTGAGCAGCAATCTTCGTATGTTTGGCATGCGATTCGCCCCTGTAAAATGTAAGATGATGCTGCAGGATTGAACTACACCGACCTCTAGATTAGAAATAGGAAGTGAAGTGGTAGAGCACGTTGACCGCTTCACTTACTTGGGAAGTACCATCAGCCAGTGCCAACGGGTTGATCTCTGACGAAATCTCAGTACGAATACAGAGGGCTAGTTTCGCATATGCCAGTTTACGCCGTCTCTGGCTTAGTAAATGTGATATCCAACTATCGACCAGAGGGCGTGTGTACTGCTCATCAGTCCGCTCCGTCCTCCTTTATGGCTGTGAGACCTGGCCATTGAGAGTGGAAGACATGAAAAGATTAGCTGTCTTTGATCATAGGTGTCTGCGTTCTATCTCCCGTGTGATGTTGTGGTATAATAAGGTGAGCAATATTGAGGTTAGGCAGCGGTCGAGCGCTAGGTAGGTGGGAGGGGAAATCAATCGACGAGGCTGTGAAATTACATCGACTGAGATGGTTAGGACATGTGTTACATATGCATGCCCAGTCATCGCCCTCCTCGACCATGGCCAATGTTAGCTGATATCGGATTAGTCAGGCTGGAGAAGAGCTAGCGGTGGTCAAACTAAAACATGTCACCAGTCAATGAAATCCACAACAGTTAGTCTAAGCCACGTAGGAAGGTGTAAACTGGCTTCCTAACTGGTTGGGGTCCTCGGAACGGTAAAAACCAATGAAGGCTGGAAACAATTGATAACATGGCTCAAAATCGTTCTCAATGCCTGGCGCAGATGCATCCACTCCTTGTGACTTATGATTTCCAATGAAACTGTTTTGTTCTTCGTTATTACTATTCCTTTGTCTCACCACACCTCTGTTTACTGTCTATATTATTATGCATTTCTTCTACTTTCTTCTCTTGCTTTGTGTGCTACATGGATTGGAGGGAGTGTGGCGACTTGAACTGCCGCACATATGTGCAAAGTTCTATGTCGAAAACCGACCGACTGACCAATTTCTGTGAGGCTTATGACCATGGCCAAGAAATTGATTCGAACGCTGACGACGTCTTGTTGCACATTTCATTATTCTGAGACAGAGGTTTCTCTTTAATTATTTTTGTTGCATTTCTTGTCCTGAGTGATTTCTCAATTGTTTCAGTGATGCTTATTTGGCATTTAATTGGACAAATTTAATTAATTTGAGAGCATAATCCTTGTTATTGAGTATCTCCGCCTTATTTGTATTTTTCAACAGTGAAATCTGATGTACTTACTCCCCTTTTTTTTGTTTCTTGTTACACCATTGTGTTTTTACACTAATCTATTTATTACAGGGCGAATAATTTGGGCACGTTCATTTTATTATCGTCTTGAAGAACCAATGAATACGATATGCAAGCGTGCACCAAAAGTTTTGCTTACAGAAAGTGGACAAGAACTAGTACGTGCCTATAATGAGGTGACAAGTACACTGGTCAGTTATGAAATTACAGTCTATCAGACATGGGTTAAACTGGTAAGTTACACTTTATACACGTTCATTTTATTCATTCTTTTCATAACTAAACGTTAGTTTTCTATAGTTTGGTTTGTAAAGGTTAATTTTGCTTTTACGATTTGATCACGGATTGATATCAGTTAGAGAAGTATTGAAAACCAGGGAGTACTGCCAGACAGCTGTTTCATCAGCCTAGTTTGGGAATCATCGGCAGTACGCACCCACTGCCAGGGTTTGAACCCAGGACCTTCCGGTTACAATGAAAGCCGGCTCGTATACCATTCAACCACTGGGTCCCGACCCAATGGTACATGAATTTTAACTTCTGCTAATTCGTGATATATATATTTATATAGCACGACCTCCAGCCAGTGTCACAGGCAGTGGTTAACTGTTTTCTTGCCCAACTTGGTAGATCCAGCACTATCCAGTACTCCCGGCTAGTTTTCCAACAGTGCTCTAACTGATGCCAGCTCGTGGTCAACCAACCTGCAACCAGTCAAATCCCTGCAAAACCAACAGTTGGTACATCATGTTTGTCGCACAGGTTTTGTTTTGTTTTTCACAGCTTCACACATAATCTCATATATATTTTTACATCCTTTTAGTTAACCAAAAAGATGACTGGGCTTATGTCCTCTGTGATTGTATTTTCGAGAGAACCAGAACCATTCGGTAGACCCTATGTGAATTTAGATCCTGATATTGTTGGTGTCTTGCATGAAATTCAATGTCTGGATGAATTTCAATGTCCTATTGTTAAAATGGCTGAAGAATTCTGGTATAAATCAGCAAAACTGAAACAAAACTGTGAAATGTTGAAAGTAAGTTAAAAACGCATATATCCTGTGTTGTGTATTTTTGTCTGTCTATCAGAGTATATGGACTAGAAGGTCAGAAAACTAAGACAAACCCCTCTGGCTGTTATTCTATTAACTAACTTCTTTTCTAACATTATGCCTGATAGTTAAAGCAAGACAGTATCTGTAGCAAATGAAGAGAGCATAAATAACAAGAGCTTGTAAAATTATCCTGTTGAGCCTGTTAGAGACCACTCGCTAATGACTGACTCGCTACAGAATGGAGTTGTCTGGAGTTCTAGTAAAAAGTTGTGACCTGACCTCAGGTCCACCAAGGCGGTGATGAGGACAAATTCCCGTCGATGACATTGGCTGGCTGGCGTGCAATAATACCGTGAATTGGTAGAAGTAAAACTCAGGAGTCATTGGACTCCTTCCCAGTATCCGACTGGTCAACATAAGGCCTCAGCAGCATGTCTCCACTGTGTTCTATTTTCTGCTGTCCTCTTTAGCTAGGCTGACCATTATCCATAGTCTCTCATCTCCTCCTCTCACTATCTCCCCCATATCATCCTTGAACGACACACTTGTCACTTCCTATTGGGGTTCCACTTGAGGGCCTGACGCGCGATGTCATCCGCCAGTCTCATGAGCGTATACCTAATCCATCTCCACTTTCTCCTACATATTTGGTTTGTTACCACAGTTTCCTGTTACTAATTCATTCTGGCCGGCCATTTGATCTTCAGTGTGGAGCCAGCCAGTCAGCGAAGGTGTCAACTGTTGATAAAAGTCTACAACTTGTTGAAAATCCTTTTCGTGACACGATGGCCAAGTTTCTAACCCCCCATAGAAGAACTGACTTCACATTTGTTTTAAAAATTCGAATCTTGTTGTCAATGCCCCGGAGTGCAGAAGAATTCCAAACTGGTTTCAGGTTGGTGAAGGCGTACTTTACCGTTCTAATTCTGGCTGGCTGGCTTGCTTTGACAGTAATTGAAACAGTGTTCCCTGTATAAGTGAAAGAAATGACCTCTTTCAAATTTCTTCCGTTCATGATGATTGGTACTGGTTGTTGTTGCTGCTGTTGGTTGGATGGTTGGTTGGTTATCTTCATCACCTCCGTCTCCACCTGTTTGATGTTCACCTGAAGTCTTGTCTTCGCTGCCAACAGCCAGCCAGCCAGCCTCTTCAGCCAGTTTGTTGGTTTACACCTGCAAGTCTTCGAGTTTGTGTGACATTAAACATAAACTATCCAGCCGCGAAATCTAGATTTTCTAGAATACTCTTATCAGTCAGTGCTGCATATTCCTGTCTTCTCAGTCACTCCCAACGCACAGTCTGACGCATAATCCAGTTCACCACAATGAATAAATACCATCGCTGGTGATAATAAGCACATTTGTCTTTCTCCTGTATTCACTTCAAAGGTTTCGCTGAGTTTTATGTTGTGGATCACCCGACACGTAGCACTGCCATATAGCTGGTTGTTGAATGAGGCTGATGAAAATTTGGTCACTACACTGCATAGTATTGAAGAAGTTTCCAAATTAATTCTCAGTAAACGCTATCGAACCAGCAAGTGACATCACTAGACAAGCCCTCGAGTGGAACCCGAAAGGGAAGCGACGAGTTGGTCGTCCAAGGGTGACCTGGAGGAGATCATGTGAAGAGGAATTGAAAGCGTGTGGGCAGACTTGGAGCCAGGTGAAAACTACAGCAGAGAACCGAACGCAATGGAGACGCATGGCTGAAGCCCTATGTTCCTCTAGGAATTAAAGGAAATAATAATAATAAACGCTGTCGAAGGCATGTTCAAAATCGATGAAACTGAGGTAGGCATTTAACCTCCATTCGATGCTTAGTTGATGATGATACGTAGCGTTGCAGTTTCATAGGCACATGATTTTCTTTCCCTGAATCTAGGTTGTTACGGCTGGAGTTTTGTATCGAGAGCATCTCTGAGTCCCTCCAGGATGAGGCAATTAATTATATATTACTTGGCGTGGACAAGAGTATGATTCCACGCCAGTTCTTGCAGAGTGACGCCTAAGTCTAACTTCTTTGGTAGCTTGACAAGGTAACCTTTCTTCCAATCGGTAGGCACCTTTCCTTCCCTCCAAACTCTTTGAAATAGTAGAGTGAGGAGATCCGCTGCGGTCTCTGGGTACGTTTTTAGAGCTTCAAGTAGAATTTCGTCTGATCCTGCTGCCTTCCCGGACTTCTTTTAGCTTGATTGAACTGAAGAATTCTGCTTTTGTCAGAGGATTGGTGTCAACTAGCAGTTGTATGGTTGTTGGAGGTATTTCTGGATGAGTTGGAGGTGATGCTCGATTCACGGGTCCTTTGAATTGATCAACCCGTTGTTTTATTTGTCTCTCCTCTTTGGTAATTGGGTTCCCTTGAACATCTTTCATGAGTTTCATCACCTTTGTTGATCTCTTCCTGGATGGAGATCTGGTTAACTGCCACAATGTTCTGAGGTGTATTTTACCTGTGGCATACCTGTTCCCCTTCAGTTGCCGCTAGCCAGTGTGTCGTAGAAATGTCTTTTGTCTTTCCCAACATTCTTCTTCACTTCTTTAGTCACTGCAGTGTACACTGAACTCAGCATCGCCTTCTGATGCCCATCTCTGCATTGAGTCATTTTCTCTTTCACCATTCTCCTCTCCTCTATTAGCTTCCAAGTGTCCGTTGACAGCCATTCCTTATCTTGTTTCTTCTTTCTTCCTAAAACCGTTGAACACGTTTCGTTAAAAATCACCTTCAGAGAGTTCCAATGGTCTTCCACTGATGATTCCTCAGTAATGTCACATAGTGTTTCCTGCTTTGCTCTTACAGTTGCAGTGAAAATGTCCTTTGTAATTGTGTCCTTCAGTTTTTGAGTGTTGAACATGCATTGTGGCCTATCTCCAGCAGTCCTCGAGGCTTTCAGCTTCACCTTGAAAGTCCCTTGTACTAGATACTGGTCTGAACCCACGTCTGTTCCTCTCCTCGACCTTGTGTCCAGTAGGCTCCGTCTTCACTTCCTTGAGATTGAAATGAAGTCTATCTGGCTTTTGGTGTGTCCATCTGGTGAAATCCATGTCGCCTTGTGTACATCCTTGTGTTTGAACACACTGCCACCAATCACCAAATCACTGAAGGCGCAGGTGCTTAGCCTAGGTGAATTCTAATCAAAACCCTCCAACGCACCCTTTCTTATTTTCCATTTCATTCGTACTTTTATGATATTTATTTAAACTCTGATTATATCTGTCCACTTCACCCTCCTTTAGTATTACGTAACTTTTAAGATTTGACCTAATTTATTTATTCAATTGTCTCCATATTCACATATTACGATCTGCGTTATTCTTATCGCCACCTGCATAAACCTTATTATCAATCTTTTGTTATCATTATAATCATCGTTATTAACGACGTTCAAAACATTTACCACATTATTATTATTATTATTTGGTCCACAAAATCACCGTCATTGGTTAAACTGTTTTATATATAAATCTATGTAAATTAGAGTAAAGCCTGAAGAAGATCTAATTGAAAACAACAATATTATTCGCCTATTATATGTCTTGTTCTTATATGAATATTAGGAATATTTAAAGATATGTTTGTTAACAATAATTAGTCGGTATCAACATGTCAGGCGGGTGATAATTAACGAAGAAAATTGATACACACAATTAAAGGGTAGAAATGATTACAACAAGTGGATTGCATAATGCATAATTCTGGAAAAATGAAGAGTAATTAAAGAATTAGCGGGGGTTCAAGTTGGTTTGATAACAGAAAATTAAAGCAAAACAAAAAAAACATCTTGGACAATGATAACTTGTAATTAAAGATGAAGTAGTCAGAAAAAAAATAATAAAAAGAATTTGGACAACTATAATTTTTAAAAGGTTTAGGAGGAGAGCGAAGTAGTCTGGTTTATACACTCATGTAACGATGGCTGTATTTCGAATTTCTTCTGAGCACACACACACACAGATTCGGCTTCTTCAGATGGATTCCTATGGCTTCGGCTGTGTGTGCAGAAGATGAACTTGTAAAGCAAAATGAAGATTAGTAGAAATGCACTTAACAATTTTAAATGCCGTATTAATGTCAATTTTATGCTCACTCACTATCTGCAAGGTGTCCTAAAATAGAGCTACGAATAGATCTTGTTTGTCCCTTGCTTAATCACCACTATGCAGGATGATGTTTGGAAATACGATAATAAACCTGCCCAATTGTACGCCCCCCCCCCCGATGTAGCTGGCTCCACAGTTGCAGTCAGACTGGTAGACAAACGTTGAGGAAGGGGCAAAATTAGGTATTTTTTCCTTATTCCTCGAACGTAAAATTGGAGTGGTTGTGAAGAGATGACGGATCTCTGCTGCATAATAAGCTCTTTTAACTGCATTCTTCAGGCCTTGTGCTAATATTTCGCTGATGTTTTCACGTTTCCTTGAACATCATCTTCAATGAAAGTGGTTTAGTCTAAACATGTTTTTTGCAAAACTGATTTATTCGACTCAATAAAATTTGTTTCTTTTTACCTTCTGATATGCATTTGCCTTTTTTCCAGTTAATGTGTAATGAATACGCTCGGATAACAAAAATGATTCCACAAAATGTTGAACAATTACTGTTGCCTACAATTCAGATTATTTTAAAAACCATAGAACCTGGTATAGCATTGCACAACTGGACCAGTGTTAATCTAAAAGCGTATACAGAGGTAAGTAAGCTACACCTACTACGACTATTACTACTACTACTCGCCTCACTGCTTATCCAATCGCTACTATAGTTGTCCGACATTTGTACATTGATTTTACTTGAGATAGAACTCGCAGTTATAATGGCTGAAATGCTGAAATCAGTGGCCCAATTTACCTGTTTCTAACATTTTTCATCACTCGACCACCCACTTTTGACAATCTGATCATATATACGCTTTTCAAATCAATGGTTTCTGTAGTGCTGCTTCACTCCTGACCTTACTTTGTTGTCTATAGTTTATTGGGATTCGAGTTATTTGCGTTCGGTTTGTTTGTTTGTTAGTATATTTGGAAACATTTATTTCCTGATACGAATTTAAAACAAGCAATAAAGGTTAATTAACCAGGATTTAATGAATTCATCAAATTTCGGTAGAACTCGTCAGCTGAATACTCTACATACACGGATATATATATATACATTTGAAATTACACTGGGAGATATAAGACTGATAAGCGAGCAAATAAACTACATTGAATTAGTCATGCAGAAAGGTAGGTGTGAATGTTTTCCAGGTCATGTTCAAATAGATAAGTGGGGAAAGGGAGTATGAGAGATCAAAATTAAGATAAAATCCATTACGCTGCAATTACACATCACTTAGATAAACAATTAGACATTAGAGAATATAACAAGAATTGCAACCAGAGTGATGTCAATAGTAATAGTTATAGAAACAATAACAATAATAGTAATAATGTTGAAGTGAGTTAAGATAATCCTACTGATAAAGGATAGTTTCAAATGAATCAAGAATAATAATAATAATAGTAATAATAAGAGGTAGAATAATAAGTAAAACGTATTACCATGGTAGATTCAGAGTCACGACCATCTCCTTTTGTACACAGAGACCTGGTTTGTAAACTCGAATTGCTCAAGCCTCCTCTACAATTGCAAGCATCTTCCTGTTTCTTTGTCTGTTGACAATAGTGAATGACTTGACAGCGTTGATATATCACATCTGTAGTCCACAAGATGTTTTGTTATTGAAGTTTTTTGGCACTTTGCGCATTCAGCTGTTTTCAACCATTTTGGCAAATGCTCCATCATGCGAGTAGATAATCGCCTTTCTGTACGACCTATGTATTTGCTTCCACAAACACACTCAAATTGATATACGCAGTTTGAAGTGTCGAGGATTGGCGACTGGTCTTTCCCAGATTGTTGAAGCACTCGCTTAGTGGTGGTGTTAAGGAAAACATGTTTTGCAGCATAATAAGTTCTCTTGATGGCTTTATCGAGTTTTCGTTTGACTACTTCTTGTACAAATCATCTCCTTTGAATGGCAAACTGATATAGACAGATTTCTTCGGAACTGTTTGGATTGTTTTGCAGGGGCTAATTTCTTTAGAGTATTTATTAATGAACTTCTCAGGATATCCATTCTTAGATAAAAAATATCCTTCAGAGATTTTATTTCATGTTCAACAGTACTGTCAGAACAAATTTGTTATCCTCCTGTGTAACCAACCATACATTGTTGACTTCAGATGACTTTCCAGCCTGTCAGTCAGTTCTAGTCACAGAGGTAGGCAATCACCATGCACCTATCTCAAAGTTATGACAGTTGAAACTGAAGAAACGTGAATGCCTGTAATCCTGAAAAACCTGCTAAGAGTGTGCTTAAAGTGTAACTAAATCAACAGGTAATTACATATTAGTTTGTTTATTAGATATATCACACAGTGAGTGAAAAAGTATGATTTACTGGATGACGTTTCGAACAAAATTTATTGTTCATAATCATATCAATTGTAATAACACGACTTTGACACTTGAGTTTTATAGTTTTTTTGTCCTCTACTATTTGTCGTATGGGTAGTAGAATTTTCCAGATATCGGGGACATGTGACTATGGACGCAGTCAGAAACGAACTCATTTCTCACCAAGAACTCGAACTTAGGACAAAAGTGCCACTTGAGGATATAATGCTGGGAGTACAGCTATGCCTGACTTCCACAGTATTTAAATTCCTTCAAGGGAAAATATACAAACAAACTGAAGGAGTTGCCATGGGATCACCAATATCCCCAGTTGTAGCAGATATATTCATGGATAAGTGGGAAAGCATAGCGATTGAAACGTTCACCCCCACCCACCACAAAAGTATGGTGGAGGTATGTAGATGACACATTCACTGTACTTAGAACACAAGATATAGGTAGATTTTTCGAACACATCAACTCGAAGGTTGAAGCAATTCAATTCACTTATGATGAATTGGAAAATCAGGAAGGGGAGCTCCCAATGTTAGATTGCAACGTAAAGAGGAAAGAAGATGGGAAGTTGAACACTAGTGTTTACAGGAAACCCACACACTCAAACAGATATTTGGACTTCCGATCATCCCATCCTATGTCAGTAAAAATAGGATTGGTGAAATGTTTAAATGACAGAGCACAAAAACTAAGTAGTACCAAAGAAAATCTAAAACAGGAACTGATACACATAAAAGAAGCTTTGAAACTTAATAATTACCCGGATAAATTAGTCAAGAAAGATGTAAGGAAATGTAAAAATAAAATAAATAATTAATTATAGTAGCGATAGTGATAATGAAAATAATAATGATAATGATAATAGTGATAATAATAATAATATTAATGACGACACCAATAATAAGGAATCTAAATCATCAGTGGTAATTCCATACAAGGAAGGAACCTCGGAAGCCTTACGCAGAATTCTTAACAAGGCAGGCAGGAATAAAAGTGGTTGGCATTCAAACCCCCAGGCAAACTCAATCAGAAACAAGCTTTGTCGGTTAAAGGATCCTGTAGAGCCTTTCAAACAAAACAATTTAGTTTATCTCATACCCTGCAATGATTATCAGGTGAAATACATAGGTCAAACTAGTAGAACAGGGTCAGTGAGTCAGACTAGCTGAACATAAAAACTTAGCGGCAAAATCTAGATTGGTTGACCCGAATAAGATAAGAAATCTAGAGAATAGTTCAGCTGTTGCACTACATGCAATTACACACAACCATACAATAGGCTGGATGGGATAGGATGACAGTTTTAAAATCTAATGTCACAGGGTGATAGAGGGAGGGAGAGATTGATAACAGAAGCTTTGTTTATCGAATCAACTGCAAATACATGTAATAGGAATGATTCAACACCTGTCCACCCAGATATCTGGAAAATTCTACTACCCAAACGACAAATAGGAGAGGACAAAGAAAACTATAAAACTCAAGTTTCAAAGTCGTGAGAATACAATTGATATGATTATGAACAATAAATTCTGTTCGAAACTCTGTCATCCAGTAAATACTAATACTGTTTCACTGTGTGATACATCTAATAAACAAACTAATATGGAATTACTTACTACCACAGTGCCCAAGTTTTACATATACAATATACATAAACAAAAACAATCTCTCATAATTAAAATACATGTTTTACACTTTTCAGTATATTTAAGACAGATCTCACAAGTTGTTCTGATTTTCCTGAAATTAATGAAAACAAAACACGTAGATCAGCGAAGAGTCTCTTTTCGGCGAATTCATTTTCTTAGCTGTACAATCGCAAATATATATGTGTTATTTTGTATGTATGTGTACAATGAGTTTATCAAACAAAAATACAATTGGTTATGGTTATTTTAAGTAAACAGGTGAAGATTGGTAATTGGAGTTACGTAATACAAAATCAGTCAAGAAAATTAGGTGTTAGTGAAATTAGGGTAGTAACAAAGGTGATGAGTTGTCACAAAAAGTTGTTAAAAAAGAAGTTATGTAATTATATGAGTAGTTTGATGAGTGAGTTCTACTCAAGATGCACATAGGAACAAAGTAGACAATACGAAATTACGTAAGAGTTCTAAATGAATACAAGAACCGTAAGCAATTAAAGAACAGGCAAAGAAACAAAATTAAGTTATCAAAATCAAAAAAATCAAATCAAAAAAGTTGTTACCAAGACAGTGGAAGTGGTTGAGTAATCCTCTTTTGTATGCAGAGCTCCGGTTTTTCTATGTGAATGGCCAGAGCTTCAGCGATACAAAGAAGGCGAAACCGTACTGCCTTTGATAGGTTGTTCTTGACTCTGTAGATTACTTTGAAGGAGGCGTTTGTTGAAATGGAATGATCAGTGTTAACCAGGTGTTCAATTATCGCACTCCTTATGGCACCATTATTGCCTTTTCGCAACCATGCTGGATAGTGTTCTTGAATCCTCTTGGACAGGGTGCTCGTCGAACGACCGATGTACATGACTGGCTCTACAGCAGCAGGTGAACTGATATATGCACATAGAAGTGGTCAGATACGGGATCTTGTCCTTGAGGCTTTTGCAGATCAGTGGGCGGGATGAAAATTTCTCTTAGAATATCTAATTCTGTTTCCAGAGCGTCGGCACTGTAGATGCGTCGGATGCGGGTGGTAAGTGATTTAATTAAATTTCGCTTTTGTTGAATGGGTACCCAGCTATAGAAGCTTGTTAGTTGACCATTCGAAGTAGGTTTTCTATGGATCGATCTTGATGCTTCTTGATGTGAAACTCACAAGAAGAACTGATGGGAGCCTAAGAAGATCGAACATACATACAAAATAACACATATATATTTGCGATTGTACAGCTAAGAAAATGAATTCGCCGAAAAGAGACTCTTCGCTGACCTACATGTTTTGTTTTCATTAATGCCTGGATAGGGATTACACATGAATTTCCTGAAATTCCAAAACAGCATTAAGCAAATTTTCACTAAATACACCCGGTTTTGCAGCTTTATCAAGACCCAATAAAGAGCTGCCTAACATTCTCTGGTTTTCAATGGTTCCTCCCACTAGTTTCCCTCGTTTCTAAAGCCTTAAGCATTCTTAACTGTGGTCATCAATCTAAATGTCTTGATTGTATAGCATATTTTATTCAAATAAGTGTACATAAAAGTATCGGTCTGTGGAGACGTGATTGATTTCCAAGTAGATATCTCAGCTACTGAAATAGCTGCGGCGATTTGTGTGCATATATATACATAAAAGAAAAAGTCTATGTGGGGACATGGAATGTCCGCACCGTGTACGAAATTGGCAAAGCTGCCCAGATCGCAAACGATATGGAAAGATATGGAATCCAAGCACTGGGAATACGTGAAAGCAGGTGGAATGGGAATGGACTCACAAAATTGTAAAATGGAGAGTCAGTGATCTACTCAGGTCACACAGAAGACAACCATGCGCACACCGAGGGCGTGGCTGTCATGAAGTCACCAACGGTGACGAAGGCCCTGATGCAATGGGAGGCGATCTCGCCCAGGATAATGATCGCCAGATTCAACTCCAAAGGAAGGAAAGTGTCAGTTATACAATGCTATGCACCCACAAACAACGCAGACCTCTCAAGTAACATCACTAGAAAAGCCATTGCTCGAGTGGAACCCGGCCGAAAGGGAAGCGGCGAGTTGGTCGTCAGTGCAAGTGTGACTTGGAGGAGGTCATGTGAAGAGGAGATGAAAACGTGTGGGCAGACATGGAGCCAGTTGAAAACTCTAGCAGAGAACGGAACGCAGTGGAGACGTGCAGCTGAAGCCCTATGTTCTTCTAGGAATTAAAGGAAACAATAATTATATATATATATAATCCTGTAGACTGTCTTTTACATACTTTCATGCGTGAATGCATACACAAAAGCTTGCACTACATTTCATTCGTTCCACAGTCTATCCAACCTTTACCTGTGCTTACATTGGTCCACACGAAGTTGTTATTATGTTTTAAGAGTAATCATTTACAGCATTCCGTGCGTCGGTGGCATAGCGGTCAGGATGCTAGCCGACCATGCACATGGTCTGGGGTTCGATTCCCGGCCGACGCACTCCTTTACCTCGCTAAGCCAGAAAAAATGCTGGTGAAGCGGAAAGAATGGGCATGAAGTTAGCAACCCCATCCTGTACAATGAACACTGCTACAGAAACTTCAAGCCACTAGCTTGAAGCCCTATGTTCCAATGGCGAACGTGAAGGATAAATAAATAAATTTACAGCATTCCACTCAACTATTTATCGTTATCATCTTCAGTATTGCAAAATTTTTAAAAAAAATTCCATTATCAGTATAAACGTATTGTCGCATGCTTAATTCTTGGTGAAATTACTTGAGTTTATCATTGCTAGTAGCGTATCATTATTGTAGTGAGTACTTATACGAATTCTGGGGAAAAAAATAAAGTCTTCATTTACATCTCCAATCAGCAGTCATTACGTCGGTTTTGACTAGTCTACCAGCTGTAGGCCGCCTAAGCTCAACACGGTGTGAATTGAAATGACATCTAGCTGGAGAGCATGTGTAACAGTATTGAACGAATAGTTATACATTCATTCATGCGTATAACAACTGAGTGAAAACTTTGCAGTGATTGGAGCAAGGCTAAACAACCTAGAAAAGTCCTGATCTCAATCCCGACATCACCCTTGTTGACGTTTCATTCTCACTTATCATTCATTTAATACGTACATGTTTCATACATATTAATTTATCATGATCTTGTGATTCAGTATTGACATTTACCGTCATCTTTCACACAGTTAAAACCCCTTAAATTGTCATGATCATAATATTAGGCTGTAATTAAAAGCTGTAGGTTGTTCATTAACGCTAGTTTCTTTTATTGACTTGTGTGAATATTATTATTATTATTACTCTTTCCTTTAATTCCTAGAGGAACATAAGGCTTCATCCATGCGTCTCCATTGCGTTCAGTTCAGTCTTCACCTGGCTCCAAATCTGTCCACACGTTTTCATCTCCTCTTTGCATGACCTCCTCCAAGTCACCCTCACCCTCGAACTGACGACCAGCTCGCCGCTTCCCATTCCATCGGGTTCCACTCGACCAGTGCCTTGTCTAGTGATGTCACTTGATGGTTTGTTTCCTCAGAGTATGGCCACAATCCAATCCATCTCCATTTCTTCCTGCCTATTTGTTTCACAATCGGTTCCTGCTGTGTTGGTTCGCTCATTGACAGAGATCACACCCTGTTGCTGATCTTTTCTGGCCAGCCGGCCATCTGATCTTGAGTGGTATTGAGCGAAGACAACTAGCTGTGAATGAAGGTCTCTAGTTTGTTTGAGATGCTGTTTATGACGCGCTGACCAAGTCTTTGATTCCTATAGTGAGTAGCACTGACTGACTTCACATTGGAGTTGAAAATCCGGATCTTATTTTTCATGCTGAGTGCTGTCTGTTGACCTCCACACAGACTTGAGAGTAGTGAGAGCTTGTCTGGCTTTCCCGATCCTCGCTCCTTTGATATCCTCGTCAGTTCCGTTCGCCTGTAGTTGAAACGATGCTTCCCAGGTCGGTGGGTAGGTAGTGGAGGTTGTTTCTTTCAGGTTCCTTCCATTTATTACTGATTGTTGTCTGTTGTTGTTGTTGTTGCTGTTGTTGGTGTTCTTGTCCAGGAACCTTCATTATCTCTGTTTTCTCTATGTTCACCTGAAGTCCTATCTTTTCTGGATGGTTCTTCTGCCAACTTGTTGATTTTCACTTGCATATCTTCCAGTTTGCTAATTTCACTCTTAATTTTCAGTCAGCTATTCCATTTAGTCTGTCATCTTATTTTAAAAGTGATTCACACGCGCTTAGGCTTCTATAGAGTGTGACTTGGATGTCATACACTTGTCTCTGTGGTGTGTGTGTGTGTGTGTGTTTATTTCACAAAGACAAGCTGACACCATTCCTATAGTGAATAGTATCGATTCATGTGCATGTATATACTTGCATCAATTAAAAAGTAGTTGATGTGCAGCAGTTTATAAGTATTTGACATAAGTATTCTATTTCAATAAGGTATTTAGGAGACAAATTTCGCCGCGAGATGATATCGTCACTATTCATTCAAACTTGTTTGAATACTTAGGCTTGTTTTTTACTTACTCGATATATAGCCTTAATAGGTATTTTTATTCGCAGTGTGGCTTGGGGCAAGCTGATTCTTTTATAGTTAGCACAGACTGGTAAAATCAGCGATAATCAGACACCTCTGCTCCTTAACGCTACCGAAAAGGAGAGAGAGAAAAAAATGCAAACTAGATTATGCACTGGTGTTATAAACCATGAACCGAACAACTCCTAACTGGCACTTAGTATAGCATTCTCCTCATCACCCACTAACACACTAAATATGACCATCAGTGAGCACGAAACCCCGCCTGGTAGATCATTGAGCCACTTGGACCAGCTCGCCTTTTAACCAGAAGGTCCTGGGTTCGAACATTGGCGGTGGGTGCGTACCGATGAAGAGGCCCAAACTAGGCTGACGAAACAGCTGTCCAGTACTCCCAGGGTGGGTTTTCCAATGGTTCTCTTACTGATGTCAGCTCATGATGAAATCCAGTAACGGCATGAATGTTGTCAATAACACGATTTCATTCACTATGATATCAGCGCATGATGAGATTCTTTTGCAGATCGACTTTGACTAAGAATAGAAAAGGAGAAGCAGAAGCTCAGAAAAAGATGAAGCTTCACCGATTTCGCCTTGTGCTCCATTATTGTTATTATTTTTATTATTGTTCCCTTGGGTTCCTAGTGGAACATAGGGCTTCAACTACATGTCTTCACTCGCTTCTGTCTTCTGCTGTACTTTTCACCTCCATCCGTGTTAGTCCATACTGTTTCAACTCTTTTTCACAAAATCTCCTCCACGTCACACTTCGACGTCCCACTAGCCACTTCCCTTTCAGGTTCCACTCGAGCGACGGCCTGACGCGCGATGTCACCCAGCGAGTGGCCTCCTCACCCAGTAAGTGTCCATTCCATCTCCACTTTCTCCTGCATATTTATTGGGCGACTACTTCTTGTTTCGTTTGTTTCTTCTCATAGTTTCTTGTTGGTTCTTGTTCTTTCCGACCATCTGATCTTCAGCATAGAGCGAAGACAGCTGTCGTTGTTGATAAAGGTCTGCAACAGGCTGTTGGAAATACTCATTCTTTGTTACCCGCCAAGTTTCTGATCCATCCGTATAGAAGAACTGACTGACTTGACGTCGTTTGTATTGAAAATCCGAATTTTGTTGTTGAGTGTTGCTGAGTTGAGTGACGAAGATTTCCAGATTGGTTTAAGGGTGATGAATGTGTTTCTCGCCTTCCCGATTCTCGATTTGACATCCTCGTCCGTTCCACCTACCTGTAGTTGAGACAATGCTCCCTAGCTGGATAAGTGAAAGAAGTAACCTCTTTCAAATCGCTCTCGTTTGTGCTGGTGATTGGTGATGGATGTTGTTGTTGTTGTTTTTGTTGTTAGTTAATTGGTTATTTTCATAACCTTCGTCTCGTCTATGTTCACCTAGAGTCCAGTCCTCTCTGATTGCTTCTTTGACCAGTTCGTCGGATTCCGTTCCGCTTGTAAGTCTTCGATTTCGTGTGACATCAAACATAAATCATCCACGCACGAAATCCAGGTCTTCTAGGTTCTTCACATCGGTCCAGGATATCCCTGTCTTCTCGTTTCCCACCACAATCAGGAATATCATTGGTGATAATAAGCACCCTTGTCTGACTCCTGTGTTTACTCCAAACGCCTCGCTGAGTTTTCCGTTGTGGATCACTTGACATGTGCCGTTGTCATCCAGCTGAATAACCAAATCGCTACAGAAACTTTAACGCCTTGTGCTCTAGTTATTTGAAATTGATTTATACATGCATATATGTACATATATATACAAAATTATCTGGCTGAAATTTTTCACTTGTCTTTTTAGTCCGTATTTAAAGAATTATATCGCTTAGAAAGAATATTAATCCAATCGAATGAAATACTCGAATATCGTATCATGCGTGTCATCAAGCGTATAGCTCAATTTGAAATGATCACTCTACCGGATGATCCAAATTCCCCGTTAGAAATGATGGAATTAGTGCGTCAAACGAAACAACAATGCAAGAAAGCTGCCGAGGAGATTGACTCATTGAGTTTAAGCGTTATGCAATCGGCGACAGATTATATTGATGCTTTATTGGTCGATTTTGAAGCATACATCACCCGAAACAATATGCGGACACAAGTTTTAGAAGAGCTGAGAATAAAACATCTGCTTACTGAAGGTACACAGGAACAAGGCGGTAAACGTAAGTGAAGAAAGTGTTTTTGTGCTTCCCCCACAAACCCCCGCACCCAGATGCATAATCCCTTTATTCATTTTTAATACCACCAGTTAATTTGCTTGCTTGATGTTCCCTGAGTTCACATCACTAATTTCTTGAATCGTTCAATTTGCATATTTGTGAGCTGGATGTTTTATTTGCTCGCGAAGCTTTCATTATTTCCCTGCGACTCCCACTAGGCAACAACTTCACCCACCATACACTTCAGTTTGAGTTCATGTCACCTTTCAGATTTCTCCACGAGTTTAGTAGTCACCTCTCCTGGAATTGATGTCGCACTTCACTTATGTGGAGTGGCTCTATGTCAACTTAACCCTAACACACTTCAGAGACTCAGGGATTGACGTGCTACCAGAGACGGAATAATCTCCATGAATTAGAATATGCGGACGATATAGACCTTCTAGACGAGGACGCTGACAAAATCCAGCAGACTCTTCTGAACACCTTGAGCAACAATCTTCGTATGTTTGGCATGCGATTCGCCCCTGTAAAATGTAAGATGATGCTGCAGGATTGGACTACACCGACCACTAGATTAGAAATAGGAAGTGAAGTGGTAGAGCACGTTGACCGCTTCACTTACTTGGGAAGTACCATCAGCCAGTGTCAACGGGTTGATGTCTGACGAAATCTCAACACGAATACACAGGGCTAGTTTCGCATATGCCAGTTTACGCCGTCTCTGGCTTAGTGGACGTGGTATCCGACTATTGACCAGAGGGCGTGTGTACTGCTCATCAGTCCGCTCTGTCCTCCTTTATGGCCGGCTGGCTGTGAGACCTGGCCATTGAGAGTGGAAAACATGAAAAGGTTAGCTGTCTTCGATCATAGGTGTCTGCGTGGTGAAGTGGTATAATAAGCTCAGCAATACTGAGGTTAGGCGTCGAGTGCTAGGTAGGTGGGAGGGGAAATCAATCGACAGGGCTGTGAAATTACATCGACTGAGATGGTTAGGACACGTCTTACGTATGCCTAGTCATCGCCTTCCTTGACAATGGCCAATATTAGCTGATATAGGGTCAGGCTGGAAAAGAGCTAGCGGCGGTCAAACGAAAACATGGCACCAGTCAATGAAATCTACAACAGTTAGTCTCTGCCATGTAGGAAGGTGTAGAATGGCTTCCTGACTGGTTATGGTCCTCGGGATGACGGTAAAAACCAATGGTTGGAAACAATTGGCGATATGGCTCAAAATCGTTCTCAATGGCTGGCTGGCGCAGATGCATCCACTCCTTGTGACTTATGATTTCCAATGAAACTGTTTTGTTCTTTGTTATTACTATTCCTTTGTCTCACACCTCTGTTTACTGTCTATATTATTATGCATTTCTCCTACTTTCTTCTCTTGCTTTGTGTGCTACATGAAGTGTGGCGACTTGAACTGCCGCACATACGTGCAAAGTTCTATGTCAAAAACCGACCGAACGACCAACCTATTTCAACCAAACGACTCATCAGTGAAATAAGATAAAACCAACATCATCTACAGAATAAATTACAACGATTGAGAAATACACTACATTGGCCAAAGTGCACCTCCCTCTCCTCTTCGTCTTCGTACCCATGGACATAAACTAGCCATCAAAAGACATGACATCCACTCCCTCACTCACTCATATCGCTTCACTTCATACAGACAAACATGGACATCAATTCGACTGGGATAACCAGCGTTGAAGCACTATTAGACAGAGGAAATAACACCAAGAATGCTAGAGAATTTTTAGAAGTCTGTGTGGTATTCCAGTGAATCGTCAGTAAATAGACACATCGACACAGACGAAATTTACCAATGGATAAGAAGGCAATCTCACAGACAGAGAGTCAAACTTCAGGTTGAGGAAACAATCAACACCAATACCAATACAAGTAGGCTAGAGGGTGTGAAAACACACAAAACAAGCGATCACGTTCAAGGTGACCCATCAGTAGAGATGACAACTAAACTCGTGTAGAAATCTGAAAGCTCACTTCAATTCGAATTGAAGTGTATGGGGTGAAGATGTTGCCTAGTAGGAGTAGTAGGACAATAATGAAAGGTTCGCGGATAAATAAACCCTCCAGCTAGCTCAGAGAATACAACTACATCGAAATAGGTTACAACAAATGACAAATTGTGAAGAAAATATACTGATAGCTTTTCCTTCTTTTTCATCTGATGTCATAAAAGCGGTTCATAATATGCAAGAAACGCTACAAACCTACCTCATACATACCCTGCTAACCCATGCCACACTGTACACTATTATTTACCACGCGCAGTAAGTGTGGTCTACTGCTTACTTCAAAAAAGCATAAGTGACCACTGAATGGTGTTCACATGTCAGTAAGAAACATAATAAGTAACAATATGCACTTTATTAAGTAACTAACATTTACGAGTTGATCACGGATTGATATCAGTTAGAGAAGTATTGAAAACCAGCCTCAGGGAGTACTGGACAGCCAGCTGTTTCATCAGCCTAGTTTGGGAATCATCGGCAGTACGCACCCACTGGGATTTGAACCCAGGACCTTCCGGTTACAATGCAAGCTTAGAATTAATGAGCCGTATCATTCAGCCATTGGGACCCGAGTTTCCTGGAGTTCTAGTGAGAACTCCTTACCAGTGAGATCCATACAGAAGTGACGTGTGAGGATGGATGTCCAACCGACGACACTGGTTGGGGTCGCGCTAAATCACGGATTGGTAGAAGTTAGAATTCATGCACTGGCCATTAAATCGTGTTTCAGTGAGTGGCTGAATGGTTTACGAGCTTGCATTGTAAGCGGAAGGTCCTGGGTTCGAACCCTGACACTGAGTGCGTACTGCCGATGATTCGCAAACTAGGCTGAAGAAACAGCTGTGCAGTACTCCCTGGTTTTCAATGCTTCTCTAATTGATATCAATCCGTGATCAACTCGTAAATTATAATAATAATAATTTGCTTTATTCCAGAAGCAGTACAAGTGTTACAGTGTGGAATTTTCAGCACATATCTACAATATTTGCATCTAATTTTAGCAAACATTTAAAAGGAGTATTTAAAAAAATAAATATAAAGATAACAACAACAAAAAAACACAAAAATAATTTTTAAAAATGCAAAAAAAATATCAAGCATTAGAAGGGAAAATAAATAACATAAAATAATATCTCAGTGTTGGGTAGTGGAAGCTGTGATATGATTACGCATGGTGATAGTAAAGCTATAGTCGTACAAGAAGTTATGAAATGATATTTAAGAATGTTTATCGCTAAGATGGTCAGTTAATTTGGTTGAAACAACTATAAACAATCATAAAATAACATTTCAGGGTTGTTGTTTTGTGTTTTATTGTCAGGTCTAATGGGGTGTTTGTAGTGGTAGTGTGAGTAATCCTGTATAATACAAAATTTTCAAAGGTGGTGACTATGGCGTTCACAACCAATGATTGTCAGTTAATATTGCCGAAAAATATAGAAAATAAGAAAAAACAACCACAAAACTAATAATTACATGATGGTTAATGACAGGACAATTTTGTACTACTCATAGTGCTAATATAGTCGGAACCAGTAGATACACAAAAGAAGGAATAGAGTAAAGTACAAAAAGGAAGCCAGTGTTAATAATTTAGGTAGCTAAGTATGTTTGAGAAGGAGTTCACTATAGAATGCAGAATAAGAGAGAAATAAAACAGCCTAAAATTATGTTATTAACAGCAAAGCAAGTCATAGGTTTCGCGCTTAACATTGTCTGTGTCACTTAGAACACGGGCCAAATATGGTATCGTTGAGTTCCTGTACTTGGTTGTACGAAGATAAATTATTTTATACTGATTTCTGGTTCTACAGTGTATTCGGTGAATATGTTACCTAGTAGGATTGGTTGGGCAATAATGAAAGCTTCACAAGCAAATAAACCCTCCAGCTAGCTCAGAGAACACAACTACATCAAAATCATCCACCTGAGCTGCAAATCTTCTCCATCTCACATATTCGTTCACATGAAAATTATGGGACCTATATTCTATTTGTTTTGAGAAATACAAACATCCGTTATAGTTTGGTTAAAACAGTATATAGCTAGTAAAATTGCTAGCAAACATTATCAGTTGTAGATTTTAGTATGTGTATGAAGTTCAGTTTTTGTCAAGGCTACACTTCATCACAAATTCAGTTTGATTCCCTTTCCTCTTTCGTACAGGTGATTTTAATTTACCACTATTTCTCCCTTGAAATAGAGGGCTTCACTCTGTTCTATGCAGTGTGTTGGCTCTTCCACACATGCCCAACGCGTCGCTTTCTATTCTGACTCCACTGGAAGGCCTATTGCGTGGTGTCAATCAATGGTCAACATGTATGCAGACCGAGCGTCTCCATTTCACTCTGCATTTTTTATTGATCTCAGAAGTGTTCTTGAATCGTTCTTTGCCAGAATTCCGTGATGTTAAATCAGCCTTACCTTATTACACGCTGGAGACGATCAAATTTTGGCAATCATCAATGTAACATGCACATGAAAAAATTTCGTTTTTCATAAAGGACAGTAAACTGAAATTGGATTTTTTATTTCTGACTTACAAACAAAATCTCTGCATTAAAACACTGGAAAGTGGTGTTAACAACGATATTCAGTCGAGAACAACACTTTTCCTGTATAACTAAATTTTAAGCTCTACTGTAAGACATGCTTATTATTATCATTTGGTAGAAAATGTGAGTAAAAAATTCAAAAGAGATGTTTCGCTTTTTCTGCGAAGAAAATGTCAAGTAGGTGAAGATTTGTGTGTGTGTGTGTGTAAACCACGGTGGAATTAAAAGAGAACGTTATCAAAAACAAAAAACAAACTAGAACAAATTCACTATGATTCAAGCTGTGAATTCAAGACACTTTTGATGATGAGGATAATGTAGACAGAATACACACATTTTACTGTGGAGGTATTTTTTCGGCCGAAACTACTTCTCCTCCTCATCCTCCTTACTTTTCACATAAATCGGTGGATATTTTTGATATAGTAATGTTTTGGTTGTGTATTAAGGGTTGGAAGAAAGGATAATTATTCAAACTACCAAAGAAAGGAGACTTAAGTCAATGCAAGAACTAGCGCGGAATTATGCTCCTGTCCATCAATCCCAAACAAAATACTAAGCTACATCATCCTGCTGGAGAGAATCAAACAAGCCAGCCTGCATGAAAAACTTCGACCGGAACAGGCTGGCTGGATTCAGGAGAAACAAATCATGCATTGATCAGATCACCGCATTACGGATCATCATTGAACAAAGCCTGCTTGGAATGGCAGTCAGCTCTCAATCTCAACTTCATCGACTTTGAAAAGGCATTCGACGGCCACCGACAATTATACATCTCATACAACAGTTAGTTGTACGACAATGCTGCATGTCAAGTAATCCACAAAGGGAAACTCACGGAATCCTTCTAAGAAGTGAGGACAGGAGTAAGACAAGCTGGCCGCCTACTATCGCCAATGATTTTCCTGATTGCAGTAGACTGGATAATGCGACAGGCAGTGGGCAATGAGGAAACAGGCATAAAATGGACTCACACAAAACGCTTGGAAGACCTGGACTTCACCGATGGTATATGTCTGCATGTTTTCCCACAAACCGGAAGATATGCAAGTAGAAAGCAACAAGTTGACAGGAGAAGCATCAAAGATAGGAAGGACTTCAGGTGAACATAGAGAAACAGAGGTGATGAAGATTCCTGGACAAGAACAACAACAACAAACAACAATCAGCCGGCATAATTGGAAGGAACCTGAAAGAAACAACCTCCTTTACCTACCCACCTACCTGGGAAGCGTCGTTTCAACTACAGGCGAACGGAACTGACGAGGATATCAGAGCAAGAATCAGGAAAGCAAGACAAGCTTTCACTACTCTCAAGTCTGTGTGTAGGAGATGAACAGCAATCAGCATCAAAAATAACATCTGGATTTTCAACTCCAATGTGAAGTCAGTCAGTGCTACTTACTATACGGATCAGAGACTTAGCCACCGCGTCATAAAGAGCATCTCAAACAAACTACAAACCTTCATCAACAGCTAGTTGTCTCCGCTCAATAACACTCAAGATCAGATGGCCGGCCGGCCAGTGAGAAAAGATCAGCAACAGGGTGGGATCTCTGGCAATGAGTGAACCAACACAGCAGGAACCGATTGTGAAACAAATAGGCAGGAAGAAAGGGAGATGGATTGGATGGTGTCCATACTCTGAGCAAACAAACAATCATATGACATCACTAGGCAAGCCGTTGCTCGATTGGAACCCGACTGAATGGGAAGCGGCGAGTTGGTCATCAGTGCGAGGGTGAGGGTGACTTGGAGGAGGTGATGTGAAGAGGAGATGAAAACGTGTGGGCGGACTTGGAGCCAGGTGAAGACTCTAGCAGAGAACCGAACGCAATGGAGACGCATGGTTGAAGCCTTATGTTCCCCTAGGAATTAAAGGAGACAATAATAATAATCACAATAATAAAGGGTACAGGCCTGCCACTAACAGCTTGTATGTAATGAATGATGTAGTGATCTACACATCACTTTGTTGAGGCTAGAAGAAAAAGTGAATGGTTAAGATGTCATCAAATTATGAAAGCCATATTTATATATATTAATCCTTTAGTTTCCCAATGGAAAACTGGCCTTCAAGCTAGAGGTTTGAATTGTCTGTAGCACTGGTGTTTATGGTTTATGGGGTGGAGTTACTAGCCTCATACCCAACCTTCCTTTTTTACCATTCAGTCTTATTACTGGTCCTTGTCCTTGTCACATACATCTGTACATTACCGTTCTAACTCCCTCAACTAGCACACGCATGTGTCGGATAGTGAATTCAGCAAAGATGACGATCTTTTGGGCGATTTCATTTTCAAAAGTGGTTGTACAATCGCATTTATAAAATACATAATTTTAAATGGATACAATTCTTGTTTGATTCCATATAATTACGACGGCCAGTAAAAGGTGACAATTACTTTCAACTAGATGAATGGTTTACGAGGAAAGGCTGAGAAACAAAATTACACAGTACTCAATCAGCTCGACATTAGAGTTTTCTTCAAAACATCAGACACACTTCAAAGCAACCTTGTCCATATAAAAGACCAAATCCCTAAAGATTCTCTATCTAATTGTGTCTACAAAATAAAATGCTTGGAATGTGATGCGATATACATCGGACAAACACCGTTAGAGAGAAATCAAAATCAGAAGAATTGAACACCGTAGAGTGAGTGTCTGTTCGACCACCGAGAAATCCCGTTGAAATACAAAAACTTGAAAAATCATCAGCCATAGGTCTACATGCTATAGGATCAGGCCACAGAATTGATTTTGACAAGATTGAAATAATCCAGAAAAACTCCAGAAATCACAAAGAACGTCTAATCTCAGAAGCGCTTCATATCAAGCGGAATCAAAATTGCCTGAAAAGGAATGATAGACTAAAACAGAATCTGACCTGGTTACAACACCTCCCTCCCCCTACCAAGTGACAAAATCAACACATATGTGATAAGCAGGTTCACTATGTAAACACACACTACTTTTATAATTTTACACACTGATCAAATCCAACAGTCATCTACACTTGGTTTTGTTATCTTTACCAATTCACCAACTTGACAACTAAAAATGCCCCCAGACAGACGGACGACGATCAAGTTAGTAAACTTTATTTTGATATTATAACAGACGAACTATTATCTTTGTTATTTGGTTTAGTGATCTTCAATGCTATTTTTACTTTCAATATGTCCTCTTAACTTGACCTAAGTCTATTTTCTCACCCCCCTAACTGTTTGTTATATATATGCTGAGATTTTGTAAATTCCGGTTTAATAATACTGCTTTGATAAAGCTATTAGCATTAAATAGCGAAACGTCAGTAAAAACAATATCGTTTTGTTTTTCATTCATTGGGAAATACAAAAACCTTTATTATAATGAAAATTACTCAGGTTTAGAACGGATAACAAGTGTGTAAAACATGAGCATGGAAACAAAATTGAAATAATAATAGTAATTTTCAACTTGAGATGAAAGTTAGGAGGTGCGAATATAGATTACAGTAGCCCTAGGATTAGGGTTACAACGAATTACTGGCGTGTAGAAAATGAGCATGGAAACTGTGACCCTGTATAATTTTGTTTCTAAGACTGTTGTAATCGATATTGCCACCTCCTAACTTCCATCTCAAGTTGAAAATTATTATTATTTCGATTTCTTTTCCATGCTCATTTTGTTCACGCCTGTAATTCGTTCTAATCCTGTATAATTTTAATATATGTGTAAAACTTGGGCACTGTGGTAGTAAGTAATTCCATATTAGTTTGTTTATTAGGTATATAACACAGTGAAACAGTATAAGTATTAATTGGATGACAAAGTTTCGAACAAAATTTATTGTTCATAATCATATCAATTGTAATCACACGACTTTGACAATTGACTTTTATAGTTTTCTTTGTTCCCTCCTATTTGTCGTGGGGTTAGTAGAATTTTCCAGATATCGGGGCCATGTGATGAATCATTCCTATTACATGTATTTGCAGTTGATTCGATAAACAAAGATTCTGTGATAATAACAATAATAATAGTAATAGTGATAATAATAATAATATTAATGACGACACCAATAATAAGGAATCTAAATTATCAGTAGTACTGCCATGCAAGGAAGGAACCTCGGAAACCAGCTTACGCAGAATTCTTAACAAGGCAGGCAGGAATAAATGTGGTTGGAATTCAAACCCCCAGACAAACTCAATTAGAAACAAGCTTTGTCGGTTAAAGAATCAATCCTGTGGAGCCTTTAACCGACAAAAACAATTTAGTTTATCTAATCCCCTGAAGCTGCGATGATTATCAGGTGAAATACATAGGTCAAACTAGTAGAACAGGGGAGTTAGTGAGTCAGACCAGCCGACCAGCATAAAAACCTAGCAACAAAGTCTAGATTGGTTGACCCGAATAACATAAGAAATCTAGAGAATAGTTCAGCTATAGCACCACATAACATGCAATTACACAGAACCATACAGTAGGCTGGATGGGATAGGATAACAGTTTTAAAATTTAATGTCACACGGTGAAGTGAAAGATTGATAACAGAAGCTTTGTTTATCGAATCAACTACAAATACATGTAATAGGAATGATTCAACACCTGTCCACACAGATATCTGTAAAATTCTACTACCCATACGACAAATAGAAGAGAACAAGAAAACTATAAAACTCAAGTGTCAAAGTCGTGTGATTACAATTGGTGATATGATTATGAACAATAAATTCTGTTCGAAACTGTGTCATCCAGTAAATACTAATACTGTTTCACTGTGTGATATACCTGTGTAATTTCGTTTCTAAGCCTCTCCTCGTAAACCATATCTAGTCGAAAATTAATTGTCACCTTTTATTCACCTTCGTAATTATGTGGAATCAAACAGGAATTGTATCCATGTAAAATTACGTATTTAAATGGGATCGTACAGCTTTAGAAAATGAAATCGCCGAAAAGATCATCATCTTTGCTGAACTTCGTGTTCTCTTCTTTCTAAAATATCCATATGGGTGTTTTCCACGATCTAAAATAATGTATCAGTAAGCTAGTGTCACTGTTTGAGATTTGCGCTTTTCATCAACTGCAGCATTTCTTCGTCTTCTGCCTTTCAGTAGAAACTCGTAAACCAGTCATCAGCATCTCTGAAGATGAAGAAAAGTCCAAGAAAGAAAAAGAAGTAGCTGACGAAGATACATCGATTTTACCTCAAGGTGAAAAATTTCCCGGACCACAGGAGACAATGTCCCAGCAAGAACAACAAACCACGTCAACCACTGTCCGATTAAGCCCTATTAAGCAAGCTAGTTTAAGACTCGCTGTACAAATTGCCTATGCTGCAGATGAAGTGAAAACCCAGTTAGGTCAACAGACTACAGATGCTGTTTGTCAAGCTGTTCGTTCAGCATTAGATAAATTATGGAATATTATGGCAACTCGAGAGGCTTCAATGGCACTGAAAGATGTTCCAGTTGGGAAAACTGTCAAGTTCAGTAAGTTCAGTAACATGTTTTTGGTAATTATTTTATAAAATCTTCAACTGTTGTTTTAAATCTTTAAATATTCCCATTTTTTAATATTAGAACAAGATGTATAAGCGAATAATATTGTTTAAAACAGTTGGTCCCTTTTATAAGTTTTGATAGCATTATTAGAAGACGGAGATTATCTGAAAAATGTGATGCATTTGCGCTATACATTTCGAACAATCTGATCCCTCACACATTTACTTGTCAAGTCAATATATATATGGAAAAGTTAAATTAAAAAAAGTGACAAAACAGAAAGAATTAAGAATAATTAACACAAACGTTTGGTAATCCAATCAAATAAGGATTATCAAGGTAGGTGGGTTAAGAGTAACAACAAACTGCTTTCTTGTGGAAAAAGCTAAAAATATGCTTCACTGGAAACCTCAAAAGTGCACAAGTGATTATAGCACATCCCGCAAAATTTACCAATTTTCGTGTGTGTGTGTGTGTGTGTGGACATACATACATAGGGAGGAGTGATCGCGTGTTGCACGTCAGGGTGGGAGAGCATATCCCAAAATGGTTAGAAAAACAGATGAATTGTGACAAGGCCATAGATGCAGGTGTCAGACTACCAACTTCGTCTATAGCTAAACATCTAATCGAGATGAACCATAAGGTTGATGTTAACTCAGCCTTTAAGGTCATCTATAAAAACGGTCAAGGACGTTTACTGAAATATGCTGAGGCTATAGCCATTTATAAACTTAAGCCCCACCTTGTGTATTCAAAAACAGTTTGTTATTACCCTTAACCTACCTTGGTAATCCTTGTTTGATTGGATTACCAAACGTTTGTGTTAATTATTCTTAATTCCTTTTTTTGTCACTTTGTTTAATTTAACTTTTCCATATATTTAAAACAATTAGTTCCCTTTATGAATTTGGATAAAGCAATAAGAAGACGTAATTTGTCTGAATCGTGTGTGTAATTTGCATACTTGCGCATCACATTTCGAACAATCTGATCACACACGGACTTGTCATAGAAATATATATGGAATTAACAAAGAGTTAAGAGGTGAGAAAATAGACCACTTAGGTCAAGTTCAAAAGACATATTCAAGGTCAAAATAACAATGAAGACTACTAAACCAAATAGCAGCGGTAACAGTACATCTGCCCTGGTTGGTATCAAAACGAAATTTACCAAGGAAGGTGGTTTAGTGTGATGACGAATTGTTGCTTTGAACGCATAAAGGTGGCTTAAACTTTCTAACTGCCAGCTACGGCTTCCACAAACTTTAGGATACGCCCTCCTCCAAACACGCTTTCATAGATAAATTTGTTTAAAAGATGTGTTAACGTCAATTTTATGTCCTGTCTCTTCTGTAATATGTTTCGCAATAGAAGAGCTAGGTCTCCTGTTCTCACCGTTAATAGGTTCTGAAGATTCCATTTGTTTCTGGAGCCATTTAGGAATATGCAAGTAAATGTGTGATCAGATTGTTCGAAATGTATAGCGAAAATACATCACATTTTTCAGATAATCTCCGTCTTGTTATAATGCTATCAAAATAATATTGTTGTTTTCAATTAGATCTTCTTGAGGCTTTACTCTAATTTACATAGATTTATACATAGAAATTTTAAACCAATGACGGTGATTTTGTGGATCAAATAATAATAATAATGTGGTAAATGTTTTGAACGAAATTAATAACGATGATTATAATGATAACAAACAAACAATATTGATAATAAGGTTTATGCAGGTGGCGATTAGAATAACAAAGATAGTAATGTGTGTTTATATGTAGACAATTCAATAAATAAATAAATTAGGTCAAATCCTAGAAGTTACGTACTACTAAAGGTGAAGTGGACAGATAATCAGAGGTTGAATAAATAATAAAAACAAGAAGCAATTGGGAAATAAGAAAGGGTGCATGGTAGGGTTTTGATTAGAATTTATCCAGGCCAAGACAGAACAGAACTTCTTTTATATGCAAAGACTAGGATTGTTCTCTCGAATTAATTCCCATAGCTTCGTCTGTGTGTAAAATGCGGGTTAGAATTCCTTTCGAAAGGCTTGATGGAATGCCATAGATAACTTTGAAGGCACTACTTCTGTCCTCTTGGTGACCGTTGTCAATCAAATGAGTCAAAACGGGACTTCCTGTAGATTTTATTTGGCCTTATCCCATCCATTAATATGTTTGTTGAGCTGCCTAGTTGTTCTCCCTGTATAGCTATCTTCACAGGAGCAACTAAATTTGTAGATACACATATAGAAGTGGCACAGCTACGTAGCTTGTCTTTGGCGCTTGAGCGATCATAATCGGTCGGCAACTGGAAAATGACAAACAAAGGCTGGGGGCAGTATAAGTCCGTTTTATTGCTCTCGATAATCTCAGATGTACGACTTCGCTAGTCACGTCCCCGATAAACTGCAGTTTCATGAACACTTGTTTCTTTTTAACTGTTGTCAGTTTCTCTTTATTGTACGTACCTGATGTTCATGTGTCTCCTTACAAATCTACTAGGATAACCCAATTGGACCAGCATATTTTGGATGTATCCTAACTCATTTTCTAGGGAGTCATCTGTACAGATCCATCTTGCTCTATTCGTACTTTTATGATATTTATTTAAAGTCTGATTATCTGTCCACTTCACCTTTAGTAGTACGTAACTTTTAGGATTTGGCCTAATTTGTTTATTTATTGAATTGTCTACATATACACATATTACTTAATACCTTCGTTATTCTTATCACCACCTGCATAAACCTTGTTATCATTATAATCATCGTTATTAACGGCGTTCAAAACATTCACCACATTATTATTATTATTTGATCCACAAAATCACCGTCATTGGTTAACATTTTATATATAAATCTATGTAAATTAGAGTAAAGTCTGAAGAAGATCTATCTGAAAACAACAGTATTGTCCGCTTACACTGTCTTGTTGTTTTAAAAACAAAATATTGCGTAAGCTGATTATCAGTATAATCATACAACCTTTATTAAGAAAGAATTTATGTAGTGTTATGCTGAACTATGTCAGTTATTACCAAAGTGGAAAAAATGAGATCAACTCATTCGGACAATTTCAAGCGATACGAGAAAAGATTCCGGTAAAATCTGTCATTATTTAGTTGTGTTAGTCACCAATAAGATGTTAACTGTTGAGTCAATTGTAGACAGTATTAATCTCTCTTGTTACAGTACTCAAACTCACCAGAACTTGGCAACGACCCCCCAGATAGTGAAGGAAATCAATAGGTCTCTGCACTATTTTGCTATTATTAATATTGTTCCCTTGGGTTCCTAGTGGAACATAGGGCTTCAACTGCACGTCTCCACTCGCTTCTGTCTTCTGCTGTTCTTTTCACCTCCATCCATGTTAGTCCATACTGTTTCAACTCCTCTTCACACCATCTCCTCCATGTCACCCTTCGACGTCCCACTACCAGCCGCTTCGCTTTCGGGTTCCACTCAAGCGATGGCCTGATACGCGATGTCACCCAGCGGCCTCCCAGCGAGTGTCCAATCCATCCATCTCCACTTTCTCCTGCATATTTGTTGAGCGATTGGTACTTGCTTTGTTTGTTTGTTCCCATAGTTTCTTGTTGATTCTTGTTCTTTCCGGCCGTCTGATCTTCAGTACAGAGCTAGCGAAGACAGTTGTTGATGATAAAGCTCTGCAACAGGCTGTTGGAAATATTCATTGTGACACACTGGCCAAGTTTCTGATCCATCCGTATAGAAGAACTGACTCACTTGACGTCGTTTGTATTGAAAATCCAAAATTTGTTGTTGGGTGTTGCCGAGTGACGAAGATTTCCAGATTGGTTTCAGGTTGATGAATGTGTTTCTCGCCCTCCCGATTCTCGATTTGACATCCTAGTCTGTTCCTCCTCGTGTAGTTGAGACAATGCTCCCTAGCTGGATAAGTGAATGAAGTAACCTCTTTCAAATCCCTCCCGTTGATGGTGATTGGCGCTGGATGTTGCTGTTGTTTTTGTTGGTTGGTTGGTTGGTTATTTGCATAACCTCCGTCTTGTCTATGTTCACCTGGAGTCCTGTCTTCTCTGGCTGCTTCTTCGACCAGTTTGTCGGTTTTCACTTGTAAATCTTCGATTTTGTGTGACATCAAACATAAATCATTCACGCGGGAAATCCAAGTCTGCTAAGTTTGTTGAAATCAGTGCAAAGAGTGATTTTCGCAGAAATTGTATAAGCAGTCATGACTATGCAAACCGGTATTGGAAAGTTGTTCGTCGTCGTCATATTTCTCTTAACTCGAAATCTCTTAAATGTCACACTCTAGGAGCAATACTGACTCCGTTGTTTCACTTGTCCTAGAGAACTAGAGAGAAATACAGTACAGTGCAATGATTCTCTGTGTTATGTGAGTTGGTACATGATGAACAATAAGCATTCACGGACTATATCGCTGTGGTTATGCGGAAGTGCATATCTCTGCCACCTAGTCAAACGGAATTCGCCAAAGAAGAGACTCTTCACTGAATTGTGTATTCTGATACTCCTCAAAATGATAAAAATTTGTTTTGGAAATTCAGACGGATACTCTCTTGAGTACTCCAGTTTTAATTTTTTTTCTCAACTGTACACAATCTCTTCTATACGGCTGATTTAAACAACCAACAAAAATACAAAGTACAATAAATCTCCAAAAATATTCAGAAATTGCACAAAAAAAAACAGGAACTATGTACAAGAAAAACTCCAGCCGTGTAGAGTAAGTAAGAAATGTCGCCCATTAATCTGCAGAAGCTTTAAGGACAAGATGTCACATCTGGCCTAATCACAACTCGCTCATTAAACTATTCATCTGACTACGTAACTGTATTATGCTTATTCAACTTCTTTCATGCGTTGATTAATATCAGTAACTATGGTTTTCGACAACGTATCTCCACTACCCTCTTACCAATCTCCATCCCACCCCCTAGTTACAGTTTTATTACCCGTCACATTTCTGAAATGTC